GCATCAGCTGTACCCAGATGATACGTGTCATTATATCTGACCAGAAATTGTAGGAACCCCCAGCTGCCATGAGACCTCATTGCTCTCAGAACAAAACTTGGGTAAGGGTTTCAGAGCTGCTAGCAGACAAAACCAATCATGCCCAGCAGGAAACAGAGGAAAAGCAAGCCTCCCCTTCTTCTCTTTACTGGGTAGCAGGCCCTGTTCCATGAACTCCCGGTGTTCTCTGCTTTTGACAAGGTAGGTAGTTCACAGTGTTGCTCCAGGACGTCAGTCCCAGGCAGGCCAGCTGAGGGGTCTTCAGGTCACAGAAACCTCAGTTCTGTAAGGTCTGCAAGGGGTTGGTGCCCAGCACAAGGGTCTCCTTAGAAGCCAGCATCCCACTTAGACACCAGTTCATGTCTCAGCTGCTCCTTAAAGCTGACCACATGTCCTGAGATCGAGAAGTAATCGCTATTGGAAGCCTTCCCATCCCGGAGCCACCTTGCATCATCCTATCAGCCAAGCTCATTGGAAGCCTTCCCTCACTGCCCATTTTTGTGCTGCACCCACAATCTTCAAGTTCCCTTTCAATCTAGGTGATGTATCCCTAACAGCCTTGTTCACTTCCCATCTATCACCTCACACAGTTGAGTGCACTGCCAGATGACCTTTCCCCATTCTCATTCTGTCAGCCTCGCTCTTACACCCAAGTGATGACCGTGCTTCCCCTGTCCCCATCTGAATAACAATAGTAGTTGCCTACAATCCAGCAATGACTTGGTGTCAAGGTCTGGTATCCATATCACCTTCCCTGCTCCTCCCTGCTGGACAGGTCAGCTTCTTGGCTGACTGTGCAGAACCCTGCCCACTCTTGGTGTTCAGAAAAACCAATGCAATATGCTAAATGGTCCCATCATCCTACAAACAAGCTCTGATTTTTTTTTTTTTTACTAGCAAGGGAGGTAGGGTGGGGTCTTCTCAGAATTCTATAATATCAATTGTCCCAAAGAGGAGAGACTATGATGTCATCATGACCAAATATTAATTGTCCACTCCCAACACTAAAGAGGCACCCAGTGAGTGGAGGTGACCCTTTCTGCCCTTGACCAGTGGCCTTGAATCCCAGGAGTGGGGACAGAATGGGGACCCTGGCCTAATGAGATGAGTACTGGCTAGAGCTACTACTGAGGAGCAGGCTCTGCAGAAGGCTAAGGCATTGGTTTCATTTTCCTTTCCCTGGTGAGGACACGAACAAGCTGACCATCATCCAGAGGCTGTGCTAGTGTCAGAGGGGTATCTCCTGGCATCCACACAGGTATAGGGAAGCACCAGCCACTTGATACTCTGCCTTTTGGCAGGAGAGGCTTGTAAAAAGGTTCCAGATGACAAGGAGACTCTGGCCCCTGGTCCTGCTCCTTTCCACAGGACAATGAAGGAGTGTGCACACGCCTCTACATGCATGCATCAGTGGTTTCAGCAGTGCTTATGCTGGGGCTCAGACACCACATACTAAGTCCTCAGGGATACTGCTCAGGCCCAGTCCAACTCATCTGCTATCCTCATAGGCCTCTTTCCCACTCACACTGTGATTTTAGGACATGTGTATCCTTAGAGTGAGCCGATGCTATGTCATATGCAGCTCTTAAAATCCATGAAAGAGCCTTGGGGACCTCTGGAGTGGTGGAAGCAGAATGAAGGAGAGGTCACTGCTTGGTATGAATGAAAAGGGCGTGGAGTGGTCAACAGGCCACTAGTCAAGACACATAGCCAGGGCCTCTTGTCTAAGGTGCTCTGGGAAAGAAAGTCCTTTGTAAGGATCATGGCAGGTGATCAGCCTCCATCCTTCTTGGAGGGACAATGAGTGCATATAGGAGGACTCCAGGAATGGATCCTTAGGGACCTGACAACAAGAAACAAACATTTTAGTGCACTGGGCTTCCCTGCCAGGGTATTGGTGATGAGGCAATGGCCAGGTTTTGCAAGGCCACCACTGATGTCACAAGTCCCAGGGCCACAGCTGGCAGTGCAAGCACTCACCCCTGGTTGGATTCCATCCAGAGGTGCATGTTGGTCCTTCACTGTCTCGGGGTGGCCCTGTTAACTCTGTGAACAGGAGCCATTCTAGAATCTGCAGGCTTTGCAAAAATATTGGTATGGCACAGATACTCCATGGAAAACCACTTCCTGTAAATGCAGCTCCATGGAACAGAGCCAGAGGTGCAGATGCAGCAGGGAGAGGAAGCCATATTTCTCTGGAAGCTTCTGCAGTTTCAGCTTCCTCCACACCTCCCTAGCCCTAGTCTTGGACTGCCTGGAGCCTTCTGACTCAAGCACCTGTACCTGAGCCTAAATGGAGACCAGATCCTTCTTTGCTGTTCCAGGACCTGGAAGGTGCTGGGAAAGTGTTGCCAGTCCAGGCCAAGCTCCATACTCCTTGTCACAGATGGGCCCATCCTGGCCCTACATCGCCACCTTTCCATGCTGATGACCGCCACCTGGACTCACCTTCCACACAAAAGTGGTGGGCACAGTTTGAGGATGGGAGAGATACAGCTGTCGCCTGCAGGGTCTCACTGACTACCAGCACCAGCATCACATATATACCAGTTCAAGTTCTGGCTGCTCCACTTCTAATCCTGTTCGCTGCTAATGTACTTGGGAAAGCAGCAGCACATGCCCCAAGTACCACTTGGGTCCTTGCACCTATGTGGGAGACGTGGGAGAAGTTCCAGGCATCCACCTCTGGACCAATCCCGCACTGGCCATTATGGCCATTTGGGTATTAATTAAATCGGCAGCTATTTCTTTCTCTCCTTCTCTCTTTGTGACTCTGTATTTTAAATTTAAAATAAGCAAATATTAAAAAAACATATATATATATATGTATAAACCTGGAAGTGTTATTAAGGATTCCCACCTGGTCCTTGAGTTCACCCTCTCCTAATTCTTAGTGCTTTCTACTGAAGTCCACACTGCCTGCCTTCTGCACTCTCATTTCTAGAAAACAAACAAACTAAAAAAAACTGACTTGAGGAAGATTCAGTGAACAATGAGATTCCATTCTCTGCCATGGTTCATGCCTTGTTCCCTCCTTGCCCTATCAGTGGCTGTACCATTCCTGCTTCCAATGAGCAGAAAAGACTGGATTCCAAGTCCTGAGAGCCCTGTCTCCTTGGGGCTCCACCCTCATCCCTTATTCTCTTCCTTGGTCTTTAGCAGGCACGAAAGGAATCCATGTGCAAAGCAGAGGAATTCATTCTCGTCACCAGCCCCCAGACAGCCTGCAATGCCTGTTGCCTCACCAAAGACTGGGAGAGACATTGGGTTCAGATTCTAGGCAGTACCACACTGCACTCCCAAGCTCTGTGCATATTTGTTCCTCAGGAAGGTATTTAAGCTGGGATGTGGTCTGGTAAAGGAGTGCTTGAGAAGAGGATGTTCAGCAGATTAGGGGTGGGAGCAAGCAAGAGGGGATGAGAAGAGAGTGTCATGCTGAGTCATCCCCACTTCGGGGGATGTTTGACAACTTTAAAAGTTGTGAAAGTCAAACTCTGTTCACGCCCAAACTTGCATCTCTCAAATGACATTTTTATACCTAAGAAACTGACAGAAATGATTTGAATAAGCCAGGTCAATGAACACAGCAGCCCCCTATGTTAGTGATAAGGAACATGACGGAAAAGTTGTGGTAGAATCATCCCCAAATGGGTCTTTTCCAAACATCTTCACTGAGATATCATTCAGTTGCCTCACATTTCACCCATGCCAGGAAGACAGTTGAGGCTGCATTTAGTGTGGACACTAGTTAGGACTGCTGTAGCCTCTCCTGCAGCTTTGGTTAAAGTCTTGAACTGGTCCCAATTCCATCTTGGCGATAATATTCAAGAGGCTCAGCTGCTTCTTGTGATGCCAGCATTGTATATCAGACAGCCAATTTGAATACCAGCTGCCCTATTTACTGTGTCCACTTCCTGCTGATGAGCCATGTAGGAAGGCAGCAGAAATGATGGATCTCTGCCATTCTTGTGGGACAACTCAGTGGAGTTTGGACCCTGGTCTTACAGCATTGAAGAAGTGAAACAGCAGTTGTCTCTGCTGCTCCAAAAAATTATAAAACTTTAAGTGAAAGTTTAAAATTAATAACTCAAATGGTGTTTAGTATACTGACGGATATGTGCACCAATCACCATGCTTCTCTCTCTGATACCCTGCTCCATTTCCATGTGCAGCTTTAAATAACTACCGTACTAATTTCATCACTAGAGATCAACAAATCTGCCCATTTCACACAAATAAATGATGTGTGATCTGCTACTGAGCTAACAATTTCAAGGTTTATCCAAGGTGTAGCCAGGCCTGATTGCCTCTTACACTCAAGTTACTAATCAAATGGATATACCACGTTTTCTTCATTCATTCATAGTGGATGGACATTTGGAAATGGCCTGTTGGACCTTATTGTCCCTCCTCTCAACCAGAAATTTCTCACCTTTGTGATAGCAACTCTGCAGGTGGTCCTGGTCAAACTCCAGGTACAATGCTGTGCACCTACCTCAGTGAGAGAGGAGTTGGGGAGGGAGGATTATAGCAAGAAATCCTACCCAGGCAAGCCCAGCTTTGGTGGAGACTGAAGTGTGGGTTGCCCAAAGGACACACAAGAACCTCAGCCCTCAGTTTACATTGGACAGAGGATGCACCTCCTGGAGATAGGACATGTCCTTGAGCAAGAGCACACTTAAATTAACCCTTGCAAGATGGAATTGATGGCAAGGACTATCTGGGAGCACTGAAGATGCCCTTCATCAGTACTGCTTTCACTGCCCATTCCAAAGCCTGTTTTAGATGGATGGAGGACATGTGAGTTATTACAGGTGCAGGAGAAGTTAGCATGGCCATGGGCATCTGAGAGTGGACAGCAGCTGACAATGGGGTTTTTCTTGTTGCAGCTTTAACAGCTTCCAGGGCAAAGCTGCGTATTTCGCACTGAAAGATTATGACAGAAGAAACAACAGATTCTGTTTTGCTCACTTCCAGTCACAGGGTTTATTTGTGTTGGTGAAATCGAAAGCGTAAAGCCACAACAAAGGAGACACAGACAGGACTTTTCATGCTTGAGTTGGGGAAGTTAGCCATGAGTCTCTATGCCATATCCTTTCTTCAGTCTGTGGCTTTTGATGTCCTTGCTCAGTTACTGGGAAGCAAACACAGAAATGGAATGATGTTCACTCTTCAATGTTTATAGAAATTTTCTTATTCAACCACATGTTTAATTAATACCCCCCCCAAGGCAACCCTTGCAGACATACACTATGTTAAAGTCAATACTTGACTTATTATCAAACAGGTTATTGGTAAATTCAAGGGGAGAGGAGCTAACATTCAATGTGATCAACAAAACAAAAGCAAGATATAGTGCTTATCTTAGTCTTTGTTTCAGGTCATGAAATTAACAAACACTGAGATGAAGAATAATGGGAATAATTTTCCTAAGCTGGTGTATGGTTGAAAACCAGAAAGGTCTTCATGAGTTACATGGAGTAACATAATGCTTTTGACGTACCTTTGACTCTGAGACCCAGTGATGGTAACAATGCTGTCGTCTGCCAATGATCTGTATAAAGACAGCATTATGTTCTGGGTTAGGAAACATTAATGTTTAACAAATTCGACAAAAATTAAAAAAAAATCATCCTAACCAATCAATGAAAAAAAATATATCTCAATATTTCTACTTTCAGATATTTCTATTATTAAAATATTGATATTGATACTTTCAGTATTTCTATTTTCAGATAGATCTAAGCCTTTAAAAAATTAACTAAAATCAATATTTGCTAGCAATCAACTTTCTTGCTTGCCTAGAAAATGGGATGGAACATAGTATGTCCGACATGTTTTCCAAATTGAAGAGCTAATTTACATGCACACATTCAAATTTTTATATCACCACATGTTTAATAATAGTTCAATAAATTATCTTACCAAGATAGTTATCTGTATCAGAATAATTATCCATACCAGAATTCATTCTCACTGCTTAACACCCGTAATCAGGCAGGTGAATCTCTCAGCTACAAGTAGTTACATTTTGTGGTATTGTGTAACCCTCAGATTTGCTTTGGAACACTTCTGTATATCAGGTTTAATGCTGGAAAGGAGGATCACAAATGCCTGATCCTCACTACAGCTTCCTGTTCACATGTGAGAACTCTGGCGGCTTGAATTCCTTACTCATGAATCTATCCAGTGCCTGCAGAGTGGTGGCCACACCCAAAGCACAGACATCTTATCTAAGCACTGGGTCGTGTCCAGGCCACTCTACTTTTGATTCAGCTCTCTGCTAATGCACTTGGGGCAGCGGGGGAGGTGATGCATATGCCTGTGCCAAGGGACTTGTGTGGGAATCCAGGTGGACTTCTTGGCTCTTGAGTGGAATCTGGCCCAGTGAGGCTCTTCCGGCCACGTGGGCAGTGAACTAAGTAGATGGATGCTCCCTGTGTGTCTCTGTGTGTGTAATCCTGCCTCTCTCTCTCTGTGATCTACTTTTTAAATACATAAATCAATCGTTTAAAAGAATTCTATGCAGAGCTCTGGTTCTGTGTGCATGTGTGGGAAACCCTTACAGAGAAATATACTGTCTTTGGAGAATATGTGTTTGTAGACATAGGCTGTGGGTGGATATCCATATTTGGATTGAAAATTAAAATAGAAGTCGCTGGCATAAATGTGTTCAGCCAAATCAAGTCAGAGTGGTCATTTCACAAACACAATAATAGATGTTTTTTTTTTTCAATCCTAAATACTGGTTCGTCATTTGACATTTTGTGACAAATGATCCATTATTTTGGTATTTTGTCAAAAGTATGACTTTTGTAACAACAGTTCTTATTCTGAAACAAGAGTATGACTTGATCCATTCCAGTTATCTGTCAATCAAGGTCCAAACTCATTTGGTTACATAGATACCTTTATTCATAATCCAGAATATCAACCTTAGTTAACTATATGTAGCTAGCTTTAAAAATGTTTAGCTAATAAATATTACTCATATTTTGATAAACTGCGGTGTTGGTGGAAATTAGAATCATGAGTTTGTATCTTAATCCACATTCCTGGGAAACTGAAAGCCTTGCCCTGACTGTGTCTGTTCATCCCCTCAGCACAAGCCAATGTCACTGTAGTAACAGTGGTGTTGCCTAGAAATCCAACAGATCCTGGTGGAACCATTTGAGCCACAATGAATTCTCCTGGAGACTCCCTTAAGATTCCTGAGTCTTCGCAGCTTTTGCTGGGAACACCAAAGGTAGCCACATGCCTGCAATCTGAGACTTTCTTACTCAGAAAGTCTAAAAAGTAATCCATAAATCTTAGAGTCCCTGCTTGTAATATCTTGAATCATTTCCATTCTTCCGAGGACACATCCTGAAGCAAAATGTTTCCTTACCCTTCGGTTGAAGTTTCTGATCTGTTCTCAAACACATTTCTTTTTTTCCATCTTAAAACAATAATGCCAGTTATAGTGAGAAGAGGTAAAAAGATGTACAAACTGATCAAAAAGCCATTTTTTTGACGAGCTCTGTGTTGTGGTATAGTCCAGCGTTCATTTCTGCCTGAAAATATATAAGGATCCATAAACATCTGCAAATCATGTTCAGTTTACAATAATAATTTTAATCACAAGATTTGGGATCCAGCTATTATTTCTGCAAAACAGGTAAATATCAGTTCAAGTTTTTCCCACAGTCTGTGACAGTAGTCCAGATTGTATTTCATATTTGTGTCGGCAATTCAAAACAAGCTCTGCTCTGAGCATTGTGGCCATTTGGGAGGTGAAACAGTGGATGGGAGAGTCTGTGTCTCTCTTTCCCTTTGTAAATTTCCATTTCAAGTGAAAATAAGCGGATCTTTAAAAAATTTTAGATTTAAATGCATTAACATAAATGGACTTTTCCGTACCTTGATGGCACTAGGAGCAGACCTCATAGATTCTGAGGCAGGCATAAGAATTGTGTAGACACTCACCTCCTGCGAACCAGAATCCATCGTCTATACTTCCTCCTGGTGAGGTAGGAGATGGATCACAAAAAGGAGGACTGAATCCTGGATCACACTGACAGTTAAGATTTGCATTGCAAACCTAAAACACAAGGAAAAAACATGCATGTATGTGTGTGTGAGTGAGTCTGTGTATGACTTAAAAAAAATAAAGGCTTGATAGGCAATGTCAATGACCAAAGTAGTATAACTTAATATAACATTGTAACAAATACTGAAAGTTTTCAAATCAAAGTGTAATATGATGAATGTGAATGCAGTTTCTTCTCAGATATCCTGAAAGTATTTTCTTAGCTGTCGTATTTACAAATAAAAGTAGACAGCATTCTTCAAATAATTGAAAAATTTTAGAGGTAATGAAACTAGGAGAAACCAAGATTGTGAATTAAAATTTCTAATAAATTGTGCCAAATTAAAAACATGGGCAATGCTCTTTCGCTTAGCAACCATGATGCTGATTGGCATGCATGCCTTCTATGCCAGAGTGGTCAAGATCCATATCTATCTCTAATTCCTGATTTTGTCTTCCTGCTGATTAAAGCCCTTGGAAGCAGGGGTGATGGCTCCTGCAGTTGGGGTCTCGCCACTCACGTTGAAGACCCACATTGCTTTCCAGGCTCTACCCTCCAGCTTGACTCAGCCCTTGCTGTGGTGGGTGTTCGAGGTGTGAATGAGTGCATAGGGATTAATCCATCCCAGTCTGTCTTCTTTTCTCTCTCTATTTCTCTCCCTGATTCTCAAATACAAAGATAAATAAGAAAAACTTGCAAAATATATGGATTGACAATGGTTACCTCCACATCTTAGAATAAACAGAGGACAGCAGTCTCCAGAATGAAGACTGAATAATCCAACACAGATCATTAGAATTCATAGGGAAGGCTAGAAAACATCTGTGAATGTGTTCATTGAGTAAATAAAAAGAATGGATTGTGGCAGCATAAAGAAGGCAGAAATAAGGGCACACAGAGACTAAGTAAAGGAGGAAAGAAATAGGAAAGAAACAAAATTCACAGGGCACGAGAGTGACTCAGTGAAATGTTGGTACAAGGGTACAAACCCATCACTATTTCCTGAAACACCATTTAAAGCATGAATCATCCATATAACAGAAGCCAAAGTTTCCAACGTAAAACTGAATGCATGCTTTAGAATAGTTTGCAAAACCTCTATAACCAGGGAAATAATTTTCATATGATACACAAGGAGAATGGCAAAAGGCCAAAATGAACATATGGTCTTCAGAACCAGTTACTATCAGTTACTAACTAAAAAGCATTAGTAATTGTGCGTGTAAGGAGAGGCTTAAGGAACTGATAAACCGTTTTGGGAAAACTATGAAAAAAACCGTGTCTTCTTACATGGTGTGGCTGAAAGTTGAAATAGTACCTGAGAGAGAATATGCAGGTGGAAATAATTTAGATGGCACCTGCGTTTAGCCCAATAGCTGTTTTTCCATTTTAAAATTCATTTAAAGGGGACTGATTGCATATATTTCATCTATACAAATTGAATGACATAATAATACTTCCCTCCCTTCCTCTCTTCCAATGTCCCTCCTCCTCCTTTCTTTCTTATGTTTCTTTAAAGTCATGTAATAATATACTTTCAAATAAGTTTTACTGGCGATAGTTAGAGAAATTGGGATAAATATACAACAATCTCTGTTATTTCATGGTTGGTAACAATTTAAACTGCATTTCAAAGGCTATTAGAAAAGGCCTTTCGTAAAAGATTCATATAGAGAAATGAACAGAAGCTCTCAAAAGACGAAGCAAATCCTTGTGGGTAGAAACTTCAAATCACATAAAATGATAAATTATATAAATGTGTATACGATAAATATATTGTATGGCTTATGATCTATATGTAAGAAAATACACTCAACTATAAACAGTAGGTATATGCTTAAGTGTATAGTACAGATGTAATCCTTTAATGTTCCAAAATGTAGTCCCTTAATGTATTATACTACTATCAAAATGCCTGTGTCACATTTTTGTACATATTTAATGGCGTTTACGTTTCACACACAGTATCAATTTGAGACATACGTGAATGATATGCTCACATAAAATAATTTACTTTCTTTGACAACAAATTTTCTAACAGAGACTTATACATCAAATACTTTAAGCTTTTATTATTAACTTGAAAAGTGTGATGGACCAGCACTATAATCGCTGTACTAGAAGTAATTCAGGGTCAAGTATCGTAACATACAAGCTAAGACTGTTTGTGGCTCCAGCATCCATTACAGATGCCAGTTTGAGTCTCTGTTGCGCCACTTTATATCCAGCTCCCTACTAATGTGCTTGTTTGGGAAAGCAGTGGGAGGAGGCTTCCAGTACTTCTGCCCAAGACTCCAAAGAAGCTCCTAGCCACTCAATTTGGAATGGCCCAAATATGGCTATTTTGACCATTTGGTGAGTGAACCAGCAGGATGAAAAACCTCTCTCTCTCTCTGTCTCTCCTCCTTTCTAAATGCTTTTAAGTAAAAAGAAACAAAATAAGTATGTAATTAAAAATTATGCTAGGTATATGCTTGCAATGAAGGAATCTCAACTGAACTTGAACTGTGGTTATGCAGCAAGGTGGAGGAATCCACTATAGGGGAAGGGGTATGGGAGGGGTGGGGGGAATCCCCAGTGCCTATAAAACTGTATCACATAATACAATGTTAACAACAATAAAAAAAAATAATCTGAAGGTAACATACCCCGTGGTTTCGACATTTTATTTCTGCACTACAGTTTGGTCTATTTTGAATCGAGCCAATTTGTGTACAGATTCCTCTCATACATATCTGTAAACACATTTAATTGAAAAATGTTAGAGACAATACTAAAAATTTCACAAATACTGAAATCCATAGTTGATGCAAGAATTTTCTACAAGAATTATGTATGCATTCAGAACTCATGAATTACTATTTCATCTCCCCAATTCAAAACCACAAATGGATCGTGGATTTATTACCAACACCAACATGATATGTGATTGCCTTGTGAAATATTAAGTTATTCCATTGAGATACTTTGTTCTCCTCAGGGGAGCAGAGCTGTTGTTGTAATGCTATAAAGAACAAGTTAGGAACTCACGTTGTGACATAGTGGGTGAAGTTGTCACCAGTTTGTTGGCATACCATATTGTTGCTGTCATGACCAGGCTGCTCTGCATCAAACCAGTTCCCAGTGGATGGCATGTGAATCACATTTGAAGATGTCCCAGGTTCATGGGCCCCTGCCAACCATGTGGAAACCCTTGGATGAACCTCCCAGTTCTTTACCTCAATGTGGCCTCACCCTAGACATTGCAGCTATCTGGAGACATGAAGCAGTGAGTGCTGTATTCTCTCTCTCTCATTCCCCTGTTTCTATATAACGGATTTTCAAATAAGCAAATACATCTTATTAGAAGATTAGTGCACAAGACATTTGTAATCACTAGCATTTCTATGAACAAATTTTTGCTATTCTATACCTGTGCCACATTTTATCCTTTTTTGCCACGTAATTCAATTTACATGTTTAAAATCATTGACAGAGGTTGCTTCCTCACACATCTAAGTGAATACTAGGATACATCAATACTGCTGTACTTTTAAAGTTTTCTCTAACTTAAATGATAATGCACTAGCTCTCCACCAAGGGTCTGCCCATGAAGACATGAATCTGACAACTATTTATGCAGCAGTATGTGTCTTATAAGTGCCGATGGGACAGGGGGAGTGTTAATCGCTGCATTGTCCTAATTACTTGGATACCATTATTATCAATAATCTCATCATGATTTTCCACAATGCGGTCTTGCAGGTATTGCAATTCCTCCCTCCTCTCCTTTTTCTCTGCCTATGATCTCCTCTCACCATTATCCCCATATTATCACAGTAGAACAGTCGTTTGGTAATAGCTACAACTTTAACATTCTGCTATTTATATCGTGGCACTGGTAGGTATAGGAAAAGCTAGGAAATCTAGTTTCACACTGTCAAAGTGTATTTACCTATTTCATTGGGACCCCTCCTTTTATTTGGGAGTAGAGATGTGTACTACAATGTGTATTTTCCGTATGCTAGCTACCAATATACAGCCCTTCTATAAGAATATATGTACATACTTGCTTGCCTATAATTGTATTTATTTTTGTATATGACATGAAGGTTGTTTTATGTCAGAGAATATATGATATTTGTTGTTTGGGGCCTAGCTTATTTCGTCAAACATGATGATTTCCAGTTGGGGCCATTTGGTTACCAACAGTGGAATTTTATTCTCTTTTATGGCTCCAAAGTATTCCATTGGGTAGATATACCACATTTCTTTATTCAGTCTTCTTTTGACTGCCATCTGGGTTGTTCCTATGCCTTCTTTATTGTGGGTTATGCTTCTTAAAATATAGGGCTGCAGGTAGCTTTCTTGTATGCAGATTATTCTTCCTTTGGATGTATTTGGAGGAGTTGGGATAGTTGAATTATGGTAGATTTAGTTATCTGAGTTACCTCCATTCTGATTTCCAGAGCAGCCACATGTCTACACTCCAGTCAACAGCTGCAGTATGTACCATTCTTCCCACATCCTTGTGAGCAGGTTTGTTATAGGATATCTGGATGCAAGCCATTCTTATGGAGTTAGCTAGAACTTTGATGAGGTCTTTATTTGCATTCCCCTGATACTTAGGAAGCCTGAGCGTTTTTTCTTTTTAAGATTTATTTATTTTTGTTGGAAAGGCAGATCATATTATGGACACTAGAAGATTCAGAGAGAAACATCTTCCATTCACTGTTTCACTCCACAAATGGCTGCAAAAACCAGAGCTGAGTTGATGTGAAGCCTGAAGCCAGGAGCTTCTTCTGCGTATCCCATACAGGTGCAGGGCCACCAAGCTTTAGGCTATCCTCCACTGTTTTCCCAGGGCATAAGTAGGGAGGTGGAGGGGAAATGGGACAGCTGGGACATGAACTGGTACCCCTATGGGACCCTGACATTTTCAATGTCAGGATTTAGCCACTGAGCCATTGCACCAGGCCCATGAACATTTTTGAATTTGTTCTTTTAAAAAGATCTACTCATTTCCTTTGCTCATTGCTGAATTAGTCAACTAATCTTTGATAACAGAACTGAAAATGATGCTGGGGAAATTGTTGGTCTCTTCGACAAATGATATAGGGAAAATTGGTTATCTGCTTGCAGAAGTAAAAACAACAACTCCATCTTTCACTGTATATAAAAAGCAGCTTTGAATGCATCAAGGACCTAAATCTGCATCCAGAAACCATGAAATAACTAGAGGAAAACACAAGAGATAGGAATAGGAAAACAACTTCTTAGAAAGCAGACTGCCAGCATATGCAGTCAAATCCAAAATAAGCTAATGGGAACACATCAAGCTCAGAAGCTTCTGAACATCAAAGGAAATGATCAACAAAGTGAACAGGCAGCCAGCAGAATGGGAGAAGATCTTTGCACATTCATTATTTAGATTTTTTAGATAACTCAAATTTAGCAGAAAAAATGCCTGATTTCGTTTCCTTCTTTGAAATGACATTACCATGCATTTTGCGCCAGGGTGGTCTCAGTGGTTGCCTCCTTTTGCTTCAGGGTGCATACAGCAGCCTGCTCTTGTGGGCTTGGGGATGCAAGATTGCAAGGAAGAGTTGGGGATGGTGCTGGTGGGAGTGTGTGGGGACCTGGGGACTCATGTCCAGACAAGCGGAGGGACACTGGGGATTTTCCACGTGTATGGTCCCAGGTGGACTAGAGGCAGAGAGTCATAGATTAGCATGGAAGCCTGGTGTGCTGGTGGACCAGGCTTGTAGAACTTTGAATGGCCTGGATGTTGTGTATGTTAAGAGTTGTATACCAAGAGCTTGGAACCCTCGTGGGTGGGCAGAGCACCAGTCTAGCACAACACTTGAGCAAAAGACTGGGTTTCAGAAGGCTGGGCTGAGGATCCCATATGTTCCCAAGCACATGGGCTATGGGTTCACCAGATAAAGCGGTGTGTGGGATTGAGAACGACTGAAGAAGTATGTTGCAGGTGCAGGGACAGGTCACATCAGGCTTGGCCATGATACTCACCAGCATGCGAAAAGAGTTAAGTCTGGGGGCAAATTCTGTGGGGTATATGTGGGTCCACTCTTGTGGAACTGAAATTTGCACTGGTTTGCTTAAGACCTGGTGGTAGTGAAGGGCTGAACTAGGCATGGCCATGGAATCCTGCACATTCCTGCATACTGGGGATGGGATCAGGCTGGGCTGGACCAGGGTATAGCACCTGCAGCGACACCCAAGACTATAGAGTTGGATGGGCTGCAACATTCATGAGCTCATACAAAGGCTGGGATGGAGGGGCAGACTATGCTGAGTAAGGGCTAGCACCTGCCAAAGTATGTGAAATCTGTAACTGGGAGTTGACCTGATTGGGGAACATGGGAAACTCCTCTGGTGAGATGTATGTAGCTCCTGCTGGCAAGCATTTGATTCAGGCCTGGGTATTGGTCAAGCTGGACAAGGAAGTTCCACTGGTCAGCAAGTCTGTGGGTTTGTTATGCAGTGGGGTGGCCAGGGCAGGGTTGGGCCAACCTTAGCCCACTGGCATGAGCAGGAGCCAGGGGAAGTATGGGTCCTGCCAGGTGAGGCTGACATTCCCCTATTTGTATGAGTCAGGGATGGGAGTAGACTGGGCAGGGCTAGGCTGCAACACCTGCCAGCAAGAGTTGGGACTGGAGGCAGACCAGAACAAACCCAGACTGCAGCATCATATAACAAAGGCCAAGATGGGGAAAGGGTGGGCTATGCCAACATGGGTCAGAAAAACAACCGGCACACACAAGATCTGTGGCCAGGAACAGGCCTGGTTGGAGAGCTAAGGGGATACCCCAACTGGATTGTGGCTCCCACTGGTGAGTGCAAGAGCAAGAATGGGGGTGGGTGAATGATCTGGGCTGGACAAGACTGCAGTGTCCCTCAGCATGGATGTGGACTGGGTCTTGAGTGTGCCAGACTGGGCTAGATGCCCACACCTATGGTGCTCATGACAGCCAGAGTGGGAGTAGGATGGGCTAGGTCTTGACCCCTGCTGAACCACATGCGAGCTGTTTCTGGTCATGCACCAAGTGTGACTGGGACGTAGCACTCAACAGTAAGAATTGGAATGTGGGGCCCGGCGCAGTGGCGCAAGTGGTTAAGTCCTCGCCTTGCACGCCCGGGATCCCATATGGGCGCCGGTTCTAATCCCGGCAGCCCCACTTCCCTTCCAGCTCCCTGTCTGTGGCCTGGGAAAGCAGTTGAGGACGGCCCAAGGCTTTGGGACCCTGCACCTGTGTGGGAGACCCGGAAGAGTCTCCTGGCTTAGGATCGGCATAGCATCGGCTGTTGCGCTCACTTGGGAAGTGAATCATCGGACGGAAGATCTTCCTCTCTGTCTCTCCTCTCTGTATATCTGCCTTTCCAATAAAAAAATAATAAAAATAAATCTTTAAAAAAAAAAAGAATTGGAATGTGTGTGGGCCAGTTGGGCAAGCCACTATACATGCCAGGTCAGGAGATGGACTATGTCAGGCTGGGGCAAGGACCTATAGGTCTGCACAAGTTCTGCCACTGGGCAGAGACCTGATAGAGGAGCTTGGGGAACTCCTCTGTTAGGGTGCATTCCCTGCAGGTGAATGAAGAACCCTGGCTGCAGCAGCCCAGACCAGGCCAGGTAGTACCCACTGGCATATGTGTGGGTCATCTCTGGGGACATTTTAGGGTAGGTCAGTTTATAAAACCCACTGACAACCAGGACTGGCTGCTGGACAAGTTGGGTTAGGCTGCATCACCAGCCAAGTCATATTAGGCGTAGGACTGAGAGATTGGCTGGGCAGGGATAGGTTGTGTTACACACCAGCATGAGCTGGAACTGGGAGCAGACCCGGCTAGACCAGGACACAATACCCACCAACCAATGCCAAAGTGAGATAGGCCATGTCAGGCTGGGCCACAGCATCCACCAGCACACACAAGACCTGATTTGGGGGTGGGTGCTGAGCCGGCAGTGAGGCTGTTGGGGGCTCCCCTGCTGGGTCACTGTTCCCACTGGTGAGCATGAGAACTGGAATTTGGTCCAGACATGTAGGCACTTCTCTTATAGGCAGCAGCTTCCACTGATGGGCATGAGAATTAGGGCTGGGAGCAGGACTGGCTAGACAGGCTGTGGCACAACTGGCATGAATGTGCACTGGATATTGAGGACAATTGGGTTGAACTAGGGTTCAATGCCAATTAACATATAGGAGAGCTGCATGGCATGTGGGGCAGAGTGGACCAGTCTGTTGCACCTTCTGGCATGTGCAGGAACTAGGATTTGGGGTGGGTCTAGTGGGGTTATTGGGAATCGCTCCAACTAGGTTGCTCTTCCCATTGGTATACATGAGGGCCAAGTGTGTGGTGGGCAGGATTTGGCTGTGCCGCAACATTCATTGATTTACGTAAGAGATAGGACTGGTGGCAGAACTGACCCAACAATTACAAGTACCAATGTGTATGTAGGCACATGGGGGTGATAGCATGAGCAGGACCACATAGTGGCAAGCAGACCCAAATCAGGTTTAGGATCACTTCAGACAAGATTTCTTTGGAAATCCATCCCCCCCGCCCAATGAACTGTTGGAATTAACTACTCTAACCATGGGGAAAGTCGCAGGAACTATGGTCTTACCATAGTGTGCATGTGTCAGAACTAGGCCTCCTACATGGCTTAGTCAGAGCAGTGGATGGCATATCAAAATGCACATGGAGGGATATGCCCTTGCAAAGGACATCTGGAACCATAGTGAAGGAAGGACAGAATTGGTCAACTACCCTAGCCAAATGTTGACAGCAAATTTCTGGATGAATGGAAACTCCATGTCAGTCCTTGGGATTTTCTGATCCTTGGACTGGCGAGATGGGCAGCATGTGAGAACTGCCAAAGCCACTTATGCAGAACTCTTGGTGCATGCTCATATCAGGGACCCTGGAGTGATACTGGGTGGCTGTATCCCATCCCCAAGTACTGAGACATTTGTGAGGCATGCTGCAGCTTCTCCCATTAGATACAGGAAGAAGAAAAAGAAAATTTGGACACAATGGTCTTACCCACTTGCCCCTAATCTTGACCCTTTCCATTTTATTCAGCTATGTAAACATCATCAAAAGTCAGCTTTTTAAATGACATTGGCTTATCTTTTAGACAATTTTATTTTCAGATAAAAATCAGATCAATTTTTAGTACCTTCCATCCCTTACTGACAAATTACAACATCTCCTAGAAACTTTACCCTTATTACATAATGTTAGCAACTAATTTAGGATCCCTCGAATCCTAATCAATTAACTTTATACTGAAATCTTCCCTTTTTGAAGATTATTTGTTAATTTTAAAGGCAGAGAAGCAATGAAAGATGGAGGAAGAGAGAGTGACCTTTGTTTTATCAGTTCTAACACCTCCATTTTCATCTCTAATATGAATCTGAGTCTTCTCTCGCCAACCCTAATTTTCGGTTAATGGGGCTAATTGTTTATCTTCTTTTCTTTTTCCAAAAGACTAACTAGAGGCCAGTGATATGGACACTGTTCATATCCTAGCTTTACCACTTCCACTCCAGCTCTCGGCTTCGAGCCTGGGGAAACAGCAGAGGACAACCCAGATCCTTAGAAACCTGCCACCCATGTGAGAGGCCTGAAGGAAGCTCCTGGCTCCCAGCTTCGGATCAGCTCAGCCTCAGCCTTCGCAGCCATTTGGGGAGTGAACCAGTGAATAGAAGACCTTCTCTATTTCTCTCCTTCTCTCTCTCTAAAATTTGCATTTCAAAATAAATTCACATATTTAAAACTTGATTTCTCTGATCTTTTCTATAGTTTTTCAATTTTTTTTAATAATTCCTTTCATTCTGCTAGTTTGGGGGTTTGGTTTGTTCTTGTTATTTCAAGTCGTTGAGAGACATTTTTGGTTATTTATTTGGTATTCTTTCAACTTCTTGATGTAGTTGGGACTTGCTATAGCTTTCCTTTGAGACAGAGAGAGAGGAGAGAGAGGGAGAGAAAGAGATAGAGAAAATCACTGTGTATAATTTACAGTAAAATTTTAACTTGCCCTGTCTTCTCCGCACGTGGTTCCATCTTCCACCATGTGTGGGCCTGTTCTGGAATCATTTCTTGGTGCTGCAGACACACATAATTGATCTCCATAAAAAGTGTATTGATAGTCAAACTTTTTTGATTGTATTAAATTTGTAGTTTTCCATGCACAAACCAGGTTTCCACAAAACACGTGACTACAGGTATGAGGTAGTAAAAGTAATTCTTTAGTCAACATAGTCAATGTGCAATTTATTAGGTCAATGATAACTTTTATAACTTTAACTCAAAAATTTTTGAAATTAATGCTGAAGTGTTTTACACATGCACTGTTTTATGAATCCCAGGGTATAAATCTTTATTATATACATATATAAATATAAAATATATAACTAATATATGATATATATGTATGTGTATATATTTCTTGGCTTTTCTGAAGTCTACAGAATATGCACAGCATATGGAATAGTTTTAGAAAATAAATAAGTTGAAATTTTCTGAGTACCTACCTACTGAGACACCTACCACGGGCACATCTACCAAATGGGTCGTTCATAACATTTGTTTCTATTACACACATGTAATTTGCGCCTTTAGCATCTGAAAGAAAGTATAAAGTCACAACTACTCATATTTAAAACAAATCATTAGAAGATAAAAGTGTGGCAAGTCAACATAGAGGCATGTAACAACAACAAAAAGTGTCCTGGTAATGCTAGTCCTACAGATTCTCTTGCCATTTACTAGCTGTGCAAAAGGAGAAGCACTTTTGAAGGATAAGTCCAAATAGACAAATTAGCATTACAGTGCAGAAATGATAAAATAATGTGTCATTTGATCTCTTAAATGTTACTCTACTGGCCTTGTCCTTTCCCATCAGTTCAACTGAAATGTGATTAATGTTGTATCGTGTTCACACTGCCACTGAAAGATGCATTTTGCCTTTTAACACGAGTGAAAGTCCCTTTAATTTGCAATGTTATTATCAAATTTGGATGGAAAATCACAGCATGTTTTTAAAGATTTATTTATGTTTATCACAAAGATAGATACACAGAGAGGAGAGACCAAGAGGAAGATCTTCCATCTGCTGATTAACTCCCCAAGCAGCCGCAACGGCTGGAGCTGAGCCAATCCAAACTTGGATCCTCTTCCAGGTCTCCCACACAGGTGCAGGGTCCAAAGACTCTGGGTTGTCCTCGACTGCTTTCTCAGGCCACAGGCAGGAAGCTGGATGGGAAATGGGGCTGCCGGGATTAGAACCAGTGCCCATATAGTATCCTGGTGCACTCAAGGTGAGGACCTTTAGGCGCTAGGCCACAGTGCCGGGCCCAAAATAACAGCATTTTTTAGTGTGGTTAACCATTGCTGACTCTTTATAGTAACTAAAGATTAAAAATGAACCCAGGAAAAAAGATAAAATTCTTACATATTCCAAATAGTTGTGAGCACTGTCTTTCTAGACTTCTGCATTTTCCTTCCAAACAAAATGCAGTTTTATTATCACATTGTTGATAGTCGGCAGCTTTCATATCAGGTACACAAAATTCAGACGTTCCATTGCAATATTCTGGAAAATCGCATAAGTCTTGACTTTCCCTACATGGTGTTCCCCTTTTGGCAATCTGTGACACAAAGAACATGTAAGTGTGAGTGAGTGTGTATGTTTAGTGTTCTTCCATCATCACATACTAAAACATGTATAAATGAACATTGGGGTGGAGAGGTGCTCTGTTCTTTTTACCCTCGGATATTGATACACTATGGGTTAGAGAAGTATAAAGCTACAAAGGGATGATCACATAGAATGTATGAAGGTTGCCAGAAAAAAAAAATCCCAAGAAAATGTTGAGAAGTTAGGTCATTCCATGAATATTAGAAGGAAAGATTCTTCTCTGTGAAAGGTCATTTACCAGCAGATGGGACTAATAGCTTACAAACAAATAAAATATATAGTAACCATATGATTCATGTCTAACTCTAGAAAAAAGTAACACAGATACTGAAATAACATGATCCGTGACATGCTTATGGACATGAAAATACTACCCACATGCCATGAAGAACTAGGTCAAGCAAAGCTTGTTAGAGACAGAGCAGGTTAAAATATTTGAAAAAAAAAAGTCCAAACAGTTGTGCAAAGAATGTAAGAGGATAAACCAATCATGGTACTGCACAATGTTATACTTCGATAGCTTACCATGCAGGTTGCTTTATCACAGCATTGGCTAGTGCCACACTCAGCAAATCCAATCAGAGTACATTCTTCAGCATTACAGCATCTTGGGTGAGTACAATGCTAAAATCAAATACGGTCAAGTTAAGACAACATGTTCATCCACATAAATGATCACATTTGGTCAAGGATGGAATACATTACCAATGGCAGTCTGATAAGGCTGTAGAGGAACTGAAAAATCCTTACCCCCCAGGGATGAGGTTTATCTTGTGCAGTACAGTATGTTACTCAAGTGACTGAGCAAATGCTGGTGTAAACAAGCATCTCATACCATCAGTTATGTAAAATACGCCACATACCTCTGAGTACAATACATACTACTGGAGAGCAGTGGTAGTCAACTAGGTCATCAGGTACATATATTTGCTCATTTGTGCTTCTGACATGGTTTTGGAGTGTCCTCCTTCTACTCATGAGAGACAAGTGAACTGTAAAGCAGTCGTAGAAGGTGTCTCATAAGGAGGCTACATGAAAACATTGGTGTTACAGGAAATTTAAGCTCCATGCATATCATTGTCCCTGACGACTTGCCACTGAGACAAGAATGTGGAGGTGGAAAATGGTGAGACAGATGAGGCTGATGTGCTTTGGGCCTGATGAATGTGGATGCCTTCTCTTAGTTTCCATCATAAAATTCTAAAGGCAAAGCAAATAATCAGAAACAGAAAAGTTTATAGGGCTCTAGAGAAAGGAAACATATGTGTACATATTTACATCTAGCTTCATTTTGGACCTTGAAAAGGAGCCTTATTAACTTCCAAACTGCTGTCCCATATAAATGGGAGGGGCTCAAGTTCTTGGGCTCTCTTGTACTGCCTTCCCAGGAGCAACTGCAGGAAGCTGGATTGGAAGTGCAGCAGCTGGGACTCTCATTGGCACTTCACTACCAGAAGCAGATGTGGCAAGTGGCAGCTTAGCATGATGTGCCCCAACCCTGGCACATTGACTTCTGTATTTATTGATAGCCACCACTTCACTCATAACGTGTCGTTCATTTAGAAAGTTTTTATGGAGTTACCAGTAATGTCATGCTGTAGAATCCTGCAATGCCTTTAAAACTTTTTTGTACAAACATCTGCACTGTGAATGTGTACAGGTTTTCACTTATTATATCACAAATATATTTCCACATTTTTAAGTTTTCTAATGATGTAATCTTATAAATTTCTCTGTTTATTGTTGTATTAAGTTTTTACACATCCACTCATTCTGCTTTATTTATATACTAACATTCTTGTTACATTATGGTGTTCCTCTCCTTACGACATTTCCCCTAGCAATTTCATAGTAAGAGTATTGGCCCTTAACTTGTAATATGAGGTCGATTAAAAAAAAACATGCAGAAATGACAAAGTAGTATACATTTCCCATGAGCTTTTTGATGTACCCTTGTTTGTGTTAATGTATTTTACAAATTTTCATGACACCTTACATGAATAGCGGTAAAATTTATGAAAATGTTTGTGGTTAGTTATCATGTAACCATAATTAATTTATTTCTATTAAGAAGGAGATAAATAACTCTTCTATTCATCAGGGAAATTCCAATTAAACCCATTGCTAGCTAATAGTCTTCAGAAGTAACAAAAATTACAAAGTTAGGTATATAGCATGTCATGAGCATTGCGATGCTTTTCTTCTGAATAACTGTAGGACTCTCATTGAAACATGTAAACATATCTTTGCATTAAGATGCCAGGTTTTCTACCTTTGCTTATAATTACCATTTCATGATGCATTTGAATATCAGAAAATTAAACTTCTAATTTGTACTAAGGGACTATTCTATTGTGATAACATGAGGACAGATATGGGGAAGGGAGAAGAGAAAGAGGAAAAGAAGAATGATAAACAATATCTTGGGGAGCAATAAATTTTAAAACATATTTAAATTTTTAACATATTTAAAATATTTAACATATTTAACATTTAAAATATTTTAATAATTAATAATAATTTAAAATATTTAACATATTTAAAATATTTAACATATTTAAAATTTAAAATGACCAACCGATGGAATACCACAATCACATTGCTCATTTCCTTCCAAAATTCCATTGCCACAAGTTGAAAGTTATTCCTTGGTAAGCAACTTTCGGAACATTCTCTTTCTGAAGACATGCAAATTCAGGCTGTGACACGGAATGTTTGAAATCTTCTATGTTGCAACTGCTAAATAACTTTACACCACTGGACCATCTAAAATTAAAGTACATTCCTTAGAAAACTGGGTCAAAAACAGTATCAGAGTAGTAAAGTGTTAATTCTGAGTTATTTTGGTTGGAAAAAAAGCCAAAGAAAATGGGGGAAAGTCCTTTCAATACAAGCCTCAAACAAATGCAATGTGTTTGGTTTTTTGTTACACAATGTGATATGCTGTAAGAACCATATGGAAGTTTAAAGGATGTTAGATATTAACCTTGACTCACAATAAGCTCTACTTAGCAATATCGTTACATTATATAAAATCAAAACGATGATTAAGAAAATGAAACATACTGAGAAATTTAATTGGAGAAGTATAAGGCATACATGAGAGCTAATTATCCCCATGTACAATTCAAATTATTTGTCTTTGAGTAACAAAGTAATGAAATAAGATATTTCAGGAGGCAAGAACAAAAGGTACAAACTCTAGAGTCGATGTACTGTTTTGCACGTTTTACTCTTCGAACTACCAAGTGTAATGTTTAATGAGTTTTTGATTAACAATGATCTTACCACAGATTTGTCAAAAATTTGTTCCAAAATCACTGAGTTGGACATCAATACAACAGATAATAATTCTATGTACTTTAACATATGCTTCTGGTATAGAAATGGATTTTCCCTCAAGCTCTGGAAATAACAATAGATTTCTAGTATCTAACCATCAGATCCCATTCAAATTCACCCAAACATCAAAATATTGTAATTTCATGGAACTCGGCTCCCTTGTGGACAAGTCTATTGCACTCAGTTCTTATGAGTCCTTAGTCTACTAGTCTGAGTACTTGGTTCCGACTTTGCAAATGTGAAACGTTTTATAATTCTTGGGGAATTGTTCATAGAATTTCCCTCAGTTTATGTTAGTGACATATTTCCTTTTTGTTAAGAGACTGCATCATCCACACAGGAGCATGCCATAGGTCACTGCCTGAGCTGCTTTCTCCAAATGATGCTTGGCTCACAACATGCCACTTCATTTCCCTAAGCTAAAATGCTACTGTTTTCAAACCTAATAATTGGTAATTTTTTCACTTCCTCGACCACAAATCACATTCCAAGCCTTGTTGAGTTCTTAGAATTAATGGAATCCCAGTATCTCTTTAGTGCTTACACCAAAAAGCTTTTCACTACCTCCAGCAACGCCCTAAAACTTCTGTTCAACATTCTGTCTGCAAAACAGTGTTGAATATCAAGCTAAGTTAACACAGTTTCTACAATATCCTAAACTCATTTTCTATATAATTGCTCTTAAATACTATATATGATATTAAATATATTCATGCTAAGAAGTGTTGTAAGAGGTACACATCAAGAAATACGATGATTCTAAAAGAGAAAACATTATACATATACATATATATGCCTATGCTTGCATTTGTATGTCATATATCACAAAATATATACATTGTGTCATGTATATATCTTTATATATTGATATTTATATATGTTATACAGATATAACTTAGAATATTATATAATGTATATATGTATACATAAAACTGTAGAGGTGACATAAAATACTTACATTGCTGTGGGGTTCATCACACATGTAGTTCCTGAACAGCCACAAGTATGGATTTTATCATATGATAATCCCAGATTAATCCCAATCAATTGTGCCATAACAACTGAAAATGCCTCTAAAGTTAACATCTTTGGATACTAAAAAGAAAAACACTGTTACTATATATCCCCTTGAATGAAAAGCCATAAAACAAAATCCACAACAGGAAGAAAAATAGAAAATTTACAACAACATGAAATTAAGTACCATACTAATGATTCCAAAAGCCTTCTTGAAGTAAACGGTGCTACTGTATGACCTATGAGTCAGTGAAGAAATTAATAGGAAATAAAATTTTGAAAAAAATGAAAATAAAAACAAAAACAGCAAAATCCATGAAATGTAACAAAAATAGTATTGAAAGGCTATTGATCTTGTGTTTCGCATGAAGATTGCCTTCTATCAGAGAGAACATATGTTATAGTAACTGTGTAGTATAAACTATCATATCCAGATGTGAAGAAGCATCTCTATTTTCAAATCAGAGATGGACTCCCAATGGAACTGTTAAAATGTATCTTTACTATAGGATGCTGGACTCTCTACCATGGACCATACCTACAGCATCAGGATACACTTAACTAGCAGAATGATGGACTTATGACTGTTAATAAAGGACTGTACAATTATATTAATTTAGGGGAAATCAGGTTGAGGGAAGGGGACTTGAGGAAAGCGAGAAGTGAATTCTCAGAGCATGTAGATCTGTATCATAAAATAGTAAAATAAATAAATTAAAAATAATTTTAAAAAGAAAAACAGCATCAAATTTCCACACTATTTTAATATAGTCAATTCAGGCTCTAATACATGCATACAACTGCAGATTTAAGAAACTACTTTATCAAATATATATATATATATTTTTAAGGATCTAAAAGACAAAGTAGGTAGGTAGGTACATTTTATTTTTCTTTTTGAGTTATATTTTTCATCTACATGCAATTGGCATATTGCCTATAGATAATATGCATTTGCTGATAACTCACTGATAATCAAATATTATCAGTACAATTTTGCATGATAATCAGATTGAATTCCAACAAGTACCATTGATCAATTAGATATTTCCCAACATAACTTTACCAATGTGTTGTTTCCCAAGAGAAGACATTGGAACAGATATGCATATTTTGAAGTGTTTAATTGCAAATCAAGTATGTAGTGTATATCACAGTATGTTAAAGTTGCTACATTTAAAACAACAATAAATATTAAAAATGAAAGTTAAGGAGTTGAAATAATTTTTCTCAAAGCATAATATATAGCACATCGCAAGTTGCCTCTCTCCAAAATTTTTACATATTAATGAGCTTTGTGGTATTTCCGTGTATGCTGATTCTCAATATTGCAAAGTTAAAATAAAACAGTATATGTGCTTTTCATAATGCATTATAAATCCTTATCATATTAGCTTATTCTATGAACAGCATTATTAAATGCTTTATTGTTAATGGCCAAGTTTTCTTATCAATGGTTGATATTCCGTTTTGTGGATATTATGTTTATGGACATATGTTTATGCATTCGGCTATTCACGGCTGTCTTGCAATCTACAACAATTACACATCAAGCTGCTAAAAGTATGCCTGTGTATTTTTTGCATATGTCAATGTCTTCATTTCATTTGGGTAAATTTCAATTATGACCATTTCAAGATCATCTGATAGTAGTTCATTCAGTAATGCAAAGTGTCTCCTAAAGTGACTGTTCCTTTCTGTGACTTCATAAAGAAAGGTGACTGCGTGCGCCTTTGACTCTACAGTCTTACAACATGTGGAGCTTTAGAGTGGTCCTATACTGAGTGGAAAAGGAGTGAAAGTCTTTGATGTTGACTTGCTCCTTAGCATAGCTCTAGAGTACTCTTTTTTCAAAATAGGTATGGAGTTAAAACTGCTGCTTGTTACAATGCCCTGCTGCAACTTATCTTTGAGTCCTAGTTTGCTGAGGGATTAACTGTGAATTCTCTTCCTTTGGTCAATTTGTTTTTGTCCTGAATCAAACAATAGCATTGTATTGTCTCTCCTTATTGGTCAATTGAATTTGTTTCCATTCATCATTGAATGATTAGGTCAATTACTGTTGTTTAGATGAGTTACTATTAATTCCATAACAAATACTTATGTGAAATAAGATGCACATATGCAATGAAATCTATGCATAGAAATAACCAAGTGAAACAGAAATTGAAAAAAAATCCAGTGTAAATTCTAGAAATACTAAGCCCAAGAAATTAGAGAATTTACTAGATGCAATCAAACTTAACTTGATCAGAATTATTTTAAGTCAGGCCTGGCTCAATGACTTAAGTGCTGAATCACCCTCTAGCACACATCAGAATCCCATAAAGGTGCTGGTAACTGTCCGCTTCCCATCCAGCTCCCTGCTTGTGGCCTGGGAAAGCAGTCGAGAATGGCCCAAAGCCTTGGGACTCTGCACTCATATTGGAGACCCGGAAGAAGCTCCTGGCTCCTGCTTTGAATCAGATAAACCCCAACTTTGTGGCCACTTGGGGACTAAACCCATGGATGGAAGATCTTTATCTGTCCTTCTCTCTTTGTATCTGTCTTTACAAAAAATAATAAATAAATCTTAAAAATTATTTTAATTCATCATGTCAGAGAGAAAAAAAAAAGACATGATGAAGTAAGAGATTACGGTTCTTACAGTCTTACAGCTCATCTTGCAGGGGCTAAATACCTGTGTTTTGGAGTCCAAGAAGGGCACGGATGAGCAGAGGGGATAAGATAGACCTTGTTTAGGGAAACAATGCTGACATTTTGGGGAACAAGTATTAAAATAGTGACTGGGGTCAAGAAGCTTGATGAAATCCAGCTAAGGTGAACCCCTGAAAATCACCAAGAAAGTGTTTTGTAATCAAATTGTTAAAAAACAAAACCACAAGAGAATCTTTGTGACATAAGAGAGCTTCCATGTAACTACTGGATTTCTCAGCTATTTTTAAGCCCCAACATGATTGTAGCAAGGCAGTCAAAATATGGAAAGAAATTCAACCAAGAATGTTGTTTAGGACAAAACGGTCATTAAAAAATGTTGAGGATACTAAGAAAAGCTTAGGGAGTTCGTAACCTCTAAACCCAGTCCACAATAAGTGCTAAAGAAACTCTTCAGGGTGAATAGGATGCACATTAGACACTAACACTGAACTACAAGCAAATTGTGACTTCTCATGTGGGAGCACTGGGGCACACAGCAGATGAGGCTGATGTCTGGACAGCTACATCTCATACTTAAGTGTCTGGGAAGATATTGGCAATGTTCTCTTCTGCTAAATTTGTCTGGTAATGCACCTGACAGGAGAGCCCTTATGGGAGAATCCCGACTCCTGGCTTTGGTGGGACTTACCCCCGGTTGTTGCAAGCATTTGTGAGGGAGCACATGAATGGAAGATATCAAATTATGTAAAAGTGAAAGGGAGGTTATTTCAAGTGAACAGAGAATGAAAGAAAAATGTAGGCATTCTGGCACAAAGTATTCCAATACCAATGGAATCCAATTAGGAATCAACCGGGAAGAAAACCTTGAACACTCAAAAGCGTATAGAATTTTTTTTTGTTAAATCTCTCATGATTTTGTTTTTGTTTCTTTAAAGGAAAATATTCATCTACAGAGAACGGGTGCCAGTGTTTTGGTGTAATACGTAAGTTGTGTCCCTCAAGTCTATCATCTAATGTGAGTGCCGGTTCAATTTCTTAGCTGCTCTGTTTCCAACCTGGTTTCCTACTGCGCCCCTGGGAAAGAAGAGGACAATGGCCCAAGCACTTGGGATCCTGCATCTAGAGTAGAGATCTGCAAGAAGACCCAGGTTCCACCCAGTACACCCAGGGAGTGAACTATCATGTGTAACATCCCTCACTTTACCTCTCTCTCTCTCTCTCTCTAACGCTGTCTTTCATACAAATAAACTAAATCTTTACAAGAAAAAAGAGTGAACAATTTCAGTGAATTAATGAATACAAGATGGAAACTTAAAAACAATCCAGAGAAAAACAAAAATGAAAATAAAATACACAAAATCTGTCGAGACTGAGGAAGAATAAGTTTATACCTGTAAATGCTCACATTGAAAGGGAGGGTGATTTCAAATTAGTATCCTAACTGATCCCTGCTGGAACTAAACAACAGATGAAAAAACTAAACCCACACAATCAGAAGAACATAAATAATGGATAAAACTGTGATAGAGAAGATGATGCAATAAGAAAAATAACAAAAACTTGATTCTTTCAAAAGTTGCTTGACACAAATACATGGATAAAATCTGATAAGCTGATTTAAATATGATTTTAAGGGATTATACCAAGACTACAAGATAGGTACAAAATATGTTACTTTAAAGACATGAAAGGCAAAAAAAAAAAAGATACTCTCAATTGTGGCAGAAGATGAATTTCACAAGATTCAACAGCAAAACCAGTCAGTGACCCAGTAGTAGGAGCAGGCTATTCCAGGAAATACATTCCTGCAGGTATAGATTCAAAAGTTCAAGGACCACATGGAGAGATTTTTAACACCACTCATAACCATAGATACCAAAGTCCGATTATGAGATATCACCTCGCTCTATTACAATGGCTGCCACCAAACAAACAAAGCAGCAATATGTGAAATGGTGGTGACATTGTAAAGCAGTGCAATCACTTTAGAAATCATGCCACCCTACTATGTATTACATCTGCCACGTGCTTGAGCAATCCCGCTTCTGGATACATATCCATAAATAGTTAAACCAATGTCTCAAAGAGTTTCATGCACTCTTCATAGGCATTATATGGGAAATATCTAAATCTGCCAATGTAAGATAAGTGAATAAAAATATGGCACCTGTGGTGGAATGATTTACAGGCGTAAAAAGCAAAGAAATTGTGTCAAGTGCCACAATGTGGATACGCATTGAGTACGTTGTGTAAGGCAGTCACAAGAACACAAATACCGCATGGCACCACTTCCATGCAAATCTAAGTTGTCAAACTGATGAGAACAAACAGTGGAATGGTGGTTACTAGGGGAAAATGGTGCCATTTCCCTAGGATGCTTTCAGTCTCACAGGATGTAAGGTTCTGGAATTCTGTTTTGTTACTATTTGAAGATAGTTACTGCTTTTCTGAACAATCAAAATGCTAAGAGGTGAAGTTTGAGGTTTGTTCTTCACCCACAATAACATACATACCCCTTTCTCTTATTTGATTATCCCAACTAATAAAAACCATCATCGTTTCTATAAAGGGTTGACAAAGCACTGGATAGGTGTGCTTTATATTTGTTTACTGATGTGAATGCTAACTTTCTAAATTTGATATAACTATTAAAGAGATGAGGATAAATGCATACCAGAGCAACTCCTGTGGCAAACTTTGGATCACATGCCATTCCATGATATGTTGTTCCCACAAAAGCAGCATGTTCCCTATAACTAAAAATACAATTTTTTTGTGAAAATTTGCATTTTAATGTATTGGTGATTAACGATGTGTTTAGAAGTTGTGTCATAAAAATTGTTCATTTTTTAAAGTCCCATAGGCTCGAGGATTTCCCCTCTGCCCTACAGATTAGCACCCCCGCTACTGTTTTACCTATGTTGTTACAATAATACGGTCCTTCAGGAAAAGTCATCAATCCATTGTCCTGTTTAAGTGTATCATGACATTGCAGGTACAGACATGGTAGAAATATCACATCTAACAATTTGTCATTCCCTCCTTGAGTTGTGTGTCACAAGTCACATAAAGAGATGTCTTGAAAGGCTAGTGATCACTCTGTTGCAACACTCCAAACCTGGCAGTGTCTTTTCTGCCTGTTAATTGGTGTATGACCATCACCCTCCCTGATGGAATTATCATCGGAAGAAAAAAATCAAGATTGTTCATTGTAATAACATAGACTTAGTGAGCAAGTTGTAACTACATGTTAGCAGTGTTGACTTGGAGGAGAGAGAGAGAGAGAGAGAGAGAGAGAACATGCAACGGATGAAGTAGAGACAGTAGGTAGCAATGGCGCACATTCATCTTAACCCTTCCATGTATTTACTCTAGACTTCAAGAAGCTCCCTTAATTCTACTTCAAACATGAGAAGATTTATGGATTTATTTCATATTGCTTCAGGTTCCTGGCATTGTATTTTGTTTCTTAATATTAAAATTAAGAAAAATTAGAAAGTGCACAGTTCTGTGGAAAGAATCTTCCATGATCCAAATAGATCAATACATCCATCTCCACTCAATATAAATACACCAGTGAGGAACCTAACCAGAATGGTAGTGAAGTGGTCCTTTCCAAATACTTACTACTAAAATGTTTTCTGCTGTAACAAACACTTCAGGCATTCACTGTGTTCTGTGTAGTAATTTACAGTTTTATCAAATGCTAAAATGATGATTCGATCATTTTCTTTTAAGGTGATCAACCCCTGATTTTCCTGAGGCTTTCTATTTTTTCTGCCCACTTCCCTTCAACAGAAAGTCTACTCTGAGAATGAAAGCTTAATATGATTTCAATGTCAGCTTATGTGGCTATCAGCTTTTATAATATTAATTATAATTTTATTTTTCATTTTGCTTAATTTCCTTTCTAAAAATCTCATTGTCAATAACAACTCAGGAAATAATTTCAGTAGAAATATTGGGGCCCGGCGGGTGTGGCCTAGCTGCTAAAGTCCTCGCCTTGAACGCACTGGGATCCCATGTGGTTGCCGGTTCTAATCCTGGCGGCTCCACTTCCCATCCAGCTCTCTGCTTGTGGCCTGGGAAAGGGGTGGAGGACAGCCCAAAGCTTTGGGACCCTGCACCCGCGTGGGAGACCCAGAGGAGGTTCCTGGATCCTGGCTTCGGACGGGGATAGCATCGGCCATTGTGCTCACTTGGGGAGTGAATCATTGGACAGAAGATCTTCCTCTCTGTCTCTCCTCCTCTCTGTATATCTGACTTTGCAATAAATAAATAAATTTTGAAAAAAAAAAGAAAGAAATATTTTGGGAAAGTCCCAGCCAATATAGCAAGTGCTTACATTAATAAGTAAGACATCTCATGGGGTTTTTGTTTCCATGACAGAAATCTCTGTAGTATTTCCTCAGCATCCCCATTTGTTGAAATCTTATTTCCATCTGACCAGAGCTCCAGAGAGGACAGCATAATGGTGATGTTGACCTTGGAAAACATCTGAAAACAGGAGATAAATAATATAGGCTTGGTTCACTACAAGAAAGAATGTTACATCCCTGTAACCAGATGTGATGTATGCCTTTAATTAGTGTGTACTGGTGGTAGAATCCACTGGTAAATGGAACTAGCTCATAGGATTTTACTTTCTATGAGATGGAAATGCAATTTATACAAGCAATATGACTGTAACAAAATATGTCTTATACAAACATAAAACATAGATACTTACAGCATTAATAAGACCAAACATGTAGATAATTTTTTCAGCTGAAAGTACCACTTCAGAGCCCATAAAGTCACACTAAAAGACAAACATTTATTTAAGAGGTTTTTAAGTATAAAAGTGCCAAAAATATATTGCTTAAATGAGAGACAAAAATATAAGATTTTTGAAATAACTATGTCATTTTAAGCATAATCCTAAAAGTTACTGCTGTAACTTATGAAATTTAGATCTTTATTACCTAAACATTATATGGCCTGATACCTTTATACATGCTTCTATAGTTATACTATTTACATTGATACATAATTATGGGCATAAAGCATGTTACTGAAATTCGCCATATTATATTCTTCTTTACAGATACAGAAAATAAGATTTAAAGTTTGAGGATTCAAAGAAGGCATAACCAAAGCTCAAACCTTTCTAACTAAACTTCTAAGTCTATTTTGTCTGCTATAATTTACTGTCATAATAGAATGCAATGCATGGATCTCCTATTTGATAGCCATAATAGACATGTAGTGCTCTTAACTCTTTGAGCTCAGGGTTTATAGAGTGGACCATAAAACACATTGTTTATTGGAACAATGTACTATATGCAAACATTCAGATCTCAACTAACAACACCTTCTGGTGTGGATGTGGGGAAAAAAGGCACCCTCCTTCACTGCTGGTGGGAGTGTAGGCTAGTACAACCACTGTGGAAATCAGTACGTAGAGTGCTTGGAGAATTGCAAATGAACCTGCCATATGACCCAGATATCCCGCTCCTAGGAATATACCCAACAGAAGTGAAATCTGTATGTGACAAGAGGATCTATAATCTTATATTTGCAGCAGCACAGTCTACAATAGCAAAGACATGGAAACAATCCAGATGTGTGTCCAAGGAAGAGTGGTCAAAGAAACTGTGGTATATCTACTCCATAGAATATCATTCAGCTATTAAGAAGAATGAAATTATTCTATTTACAACCAGGCGGTCCCACCTACGAGACCATTATGCTCAGTGAAATGAGTCAATCACAAAAGAACAAACACCATATAATCTCTGTTATATAAGGAAGCCAGCATGGAAAGTGTAACTCCAATAGTCCAATCCATATTGGTTTTTTTTTTGATTGTTTGTTTGCTGTTTTGGCTGTATCCCATGTGTTTTGATGTTTTGTATTTCAGTTTGGTTCATTCCAAATCATCTGTTTTCTCTAGTCGAATTCATCACAGGATCATGAATTATACAATGGCACCATTTTTCCCAAGGGCGGAAAAAAACCTATGGTTTGGGATTGTGTGTGTAAACTTTTGTTAAAAACAGTTGAAAGTAAAAAATATGCTATCTGTTAACAGGAAAATTTAAAAGGAATATATTGTGTGATGCTTTATATATTAATGAATACAGTTAATGCAATTATGAAAATAAAATTTAAATAAAACAATAATTATCATAAAAATGATTCAAACAGAGGCTAAAATCAATCCACTAGTCCAATGGTAGCAAACAAGTGACAATTGAGCCTTAACAATTTTAACAGAAGAGTAGTACTTGAACCCACACATGTACATTTCAGTAATGCTTTTTAGGTTCCATTTGAGGATTGGTTGATTTGACAGCCAGAGGATGAGGGAGAGAAAGAGAAAGAGGTATTTCACTTGATGGTTTATTACTCAGGCTGCTTCCACTTAAAGCTAAGATGTTGGAACTATAAACTCCATTCTGGTTTCTGACTAGGGGGTAGAGCCCAGGCAGGCATCAGGTCATAAACTGCACCCTCGCTGGGATACTAAGAAGGCTTGCAAGGGGCTGTATCACAAGTGGAGCATCGGGGCTCCAACCTGAGCTCCAGTGTATTGTGCTGAGACTGTCATGCTGGGCCTCAATGCCAACCCTGTTCTGCAGAAAGCAACAACCTTATTATCAATGACTCTTCCCACTTGCAAAACACAGACCTCAACCTGAGAAGTGGAGAAATTATACAACGTTAAATAATTATAAAGACTAATATTTAGGAAAATGTGGGCCTTTTTTCTCTTCAGTAACTAATGAAAAAGGTTACTTTAGAATGGACATACATCCAAGGAACAGATTCTTGGAGAACTGTCGAAGGCACAGAAGTGTCTTCAGATAGTTACTGTTGATTAAAGCTTAATGTAGTAGAACCCTACCACATACGATTCTAGGATTCAATATGGGATTAGAAATCAATACCTGAATATTGACAACCCATCTCTGTGTAAAGGCAAAAGGTATTTCCTTAACTTATGGTGTACTAAAATAACGTATCTTTTAATATTAGGAACAATAGAAGTTTAATGCTCATATTCCCCATAACTTAAGTTTAATATGAAGACAGAATAAAATATATCAGTAATGCATACCATGGATTTATCCATAACAATGTGCGTTCTCAAAGTCCTTTTTGGAAATGCAACATCTAAATCTTTCTGCGAAACACAGGACATAATTAACGTTTTCAAAATTCTTGCATTGTCATTATTATATGTACCAAACATAGACATGCACAGGAGACAGAGGCAGAGAGGGGACAGACTCACTCACCCACACAGAACAGGATACAGACAGATGGATGCATATAACAGATGGATAGCCACAATGGAAAAATAAGAGAATTGATGCACACGCTGTAAATAAGTGGGTAAGAGTTTTGTAACTTGTTAAGCGTTTGTAACTTGTCAGAAGTATTTTAATTTCTATTCCTGGAAATAAGAATCTTCAAAGTGTCCAGAAATAAAGGAAAGACCATATTTTTTTTTTATCTGAAAGCATTTTTGTGTTGCTAATGGGACATCCACAGCCTGCCATCCTTCAACATGTTTCTGTCAACATTCTCTCATCATTGTGTATATTGGGGGGTGTTGTGCAGGGAGTAGAAGGACAGAGAGGGAGAAAGTGAAAATGGCTCACTCCTTAAACATCTCCAAATGCTAAGGTTGGGAAAAGCAAAACTCAAAGAAGGTTCAACATCTGAAGAGCCCAAGTGGGTAGAAGGACCTTAAACCATCCATCTTCAGTTGTCTTCTTGAATATTTTAGCACAAATGTGAATCAAGATCTGAGCAGCCAGGATTGAAACTGGAACTCTGATATGTTGAAATACCAGCCTGGAGTAAGGGGCTCCATGTTGAGATGGGCTACATTTGTGGGGACCCATGAGACTGTAGCCAAGCAGAGAGAGCCACATTCTGCTCAAATCCCTGGCTAGGCTATTCAAGCATGACTAGGAGAAAAATGAGCTTGAACTGGTGTAATTTTCTTTTTATGCCTGAAGTAGGCTCATATTAGCTAATAATATCTGATGCCCCAGAACCTCTCCTGGTTTGCAATTTTGCTTTCATGAACTCTGCTGTTCGGCAGTGCAGCATCGAGAAAGCTTCGGGGCATGAGTCCACTCTTCACTGTCAGCAGTCAAGGATCGCATCAGCCTGTGGTGCTCCTCTTCTGCACGGGATTGCTTGGGGACACAAGGCCAGTGTCACAAGCAGTAGTGTATTCTTCTGTATGAGGATGTCCATTTCCTTCCTCATGGTTTTTATATTTTAACATTTATGTTAGATTTGTGAGGTTTGTGTTAAACAAGACATACCAGTTTGAAGTATATGATGTGTGGCACAGTACGTACGTGAATGAATCCACTGTCACTAATACAATATTTCCATCACTTTCTCCCCTGTGGGTAGTCCACATGGCACAAAACTACTGATAATCTTCAGCCTTCCACCACAGGTTAAAATAATTTGATCTAGAATTTCAGCTCAGTGGAAACATACTAAGTGATCTCTTTTTTATCCAGCTACTTCCATTCGGCCTTCCATCAAATTGTTGGATTTATTAGTACTCTAATAGAGACACATTTCAACTTTATTATACACTAACTTATCAGTGGCCATTTGGAGTATTTAGATGTTTTAACAATTATTAGTACTGTTTCGCTGCATATTAATTTTAAACTCTGTGTAGTTTCATCAATATACACGGTTCCTTTCTTCTTGGCAAAAATTTATGGTATTTACTGAATCGGCAGCCTTGAATGGTGGCAGGTGGTTCACACCCTGATCTCCCCGCTCTGCTTGACTGCTCTGTGGGTCTATGGCGACACTGTGCTGCCATTTGACAGTTCAGCAGATTATGCTTCTATCTCTTCTCTTGTTTGAAGGCATGAATGCCATCAGGAAGACTGCCTCCTTCAACAGCTGTGTCACTATTTTACATCCCAAAGTTTAACTTCCAAATACATTCCCTGGGAGGGGCAGTGCCACTGCCAGGGCTTCAACATGTAACTGATGGAGCACCAAAACTGCAGTTCACAGCAGGCACAAAATCTTCAGAAACATTCCTTCAGCTATGGAAGCTGTCACACATGCTTTAAATCTGACCACGGGAGTTTTCTATTCTTGTTTTCTCTTATGAAAGTGTAAACTGTTGGACAGTGATGTTGCCTTTTCTGAAAATATTGTTATGCTCTGTAAAGATCTGTGAATAGCATATTTGAACTTCATATTTAATTTAGGATTTTAAGTAACATTGACACAAAGTTTTGTAACTTTACACAGATTAAAAAATCAAGATTGTCATTTTATTTTAAAGGGAACTTGATTAGATAAAAATTCTTGCAATATTTCATGTTTCACCGTGAAGAAATAGGAAATATTTAACTGTTTTGGAAGGGTTTCAGTCATTATGGCTGGTTTCTCTACCCTTTGAAGAAACAATATTTGAGTGTGCTATTTTTTTAATTTTGTATTGTCGATTTTAAAAGTTGCCTGGAAATTTTCAGCTTCATCATTTGCTCATCAAAGTTGTTTTGTTTTCTGCTGTTTTTCTAAATTATAGTGCATTTGATGATTTCCTTCTTGATTACAAATCTTAACATCTTAAATTTTCTACTACCAGCTTTCATAGCCATTGAGACCATACCTATTCTGAAAAACAAAATGCATAGATGTGTAGGTGAGGGGACTTCAAAACATCCATGCAAAAACAAATTTAAGAGGTAAGAATATTTCTCATTTTTATATGATTTATTTATTTTATTGGAAAGACAGATTTCCAGAGAGAAGAGACAGAGGGAAAGATTTTCCATCTTCTGGTTCGCTATTCCAAAAGCCACAAATGCCGGAGCTGAGCAACTCTGAAGCCAAGAACCAGGAGCATCTTCTGCGCCTCCTACACAGGTGCAGGTTTCCAAGGCTTCGGGTCATTCTCTGGTGTTTCCCAGGCCATAAGCAGGAAGCTGAATGGGAAGTGGAGCAGCCAGGACATGATCTGGTGTCTGTATGGGATCCCGGTGTGTAAAAGGCAGCAAGGGCTTAGCTACTGAGTCTTTGTGCTGGGCTCAGCAAAGTGAATTCTTTTCCTCAAAATACTCACAGAACTTTTATCTTCATTATAAAAACTGTATATGCATGGATTCCAATTTTTGTTCCAGAAAAAACTAATAATACTTGCCATACTAGTTGAAAAGTATCTAGTTTGAGACACAAAGTAGGTAAAACATAAGACCAAACATCGCCTACATGATCTGTGAAGATCACAGCAAGAAAATACACAGAATTGAAGATGAAGATGAACTGTAGCAATATTAAGATGATGGACACAGTCCAAAATGTCTGTAATAATACTAACATGACAAACCAGTGTTTGGAATAATTGAATATAAACCCTATAGTGGCAAGCCACTCACACCACTGATTAGGATCATAGTAGAAACATTATACATCATGACTGCAATTGGTTTAGTTTCCAGAATTATGGCTAAAAAGCAAAAAGTGGTGCAAACTTTGGCTTACTGAGTACCAGAATGCTTGCACCTAGATCAGCTACAGACAGGGATTTCAACTGACTAATCAAGTGAGATCAAGTTCCTGAGCAGGTTCTACTAAGAACATAACGTGGGAGGAACATGGATACGCAACGTGGTTTTGAGAAGAAGTACAATCTAAGCAATAACTATCTTGAAGTGGAGTAGTCCTTGCAACCAAAAGCAAATGGGTCAAAAGCAATGGTTGTGGCGGTATATTTCGAATGCATTGAATGCTTATGGAACATTGCTGACTTTTGGCAGGTCAAGGAATTATAACATTTGCTTATCAGGGTAGGGCTTTAAGAAAGTTAGCCACAGGTATAACACTGTGGCTCAACAGGCTAATCTTTCACCTGTAAGCACCAGGATCCCATGTGGGTGCCTCTTCTAGTTCCAGATGCTTCACGTTCTAGCCAGCTCCCTGTGGATGCCTGGGAAAGCAGTGGAGGATGGCTCAAGCCCTTGGGCCCCTGCACACACCTAGGAGACTGGGCAGAGGCAGTCTGGTTGCTGGTTTTCGACTGGTTTCACCCTAGATTGTGTCCATTTGGAGAGTTAATTAGCAGATGGAAGATCTCTCTCCTCTCTCCTTCTCTCTGATTACATTGTTATGGCTAAAATTCCAGGACTCTCAATTCTCTATTGATGTAAAATTAGCTAAGTGAACTTAGAAAAGTTTCTGCTGGAGATTACATGAAGAAATGAAGCTTACAATTTTTTATTTTTATTATTTAATTCCATTTCAATGAACTTTTAGAAGTGCATTTGTTTACATAAGAAATTGTGTGCTAATATAGACCTGACAAGATAGCAAAGTGATCCACGAGAGGGTTTAGACTGTAATAATTGGTGTTACAGTCTATTCTGTTTTCTTGCCTTTTATACACATACGGTTCGTATTTAATGTATGTGAATTCAATACTTGTAAAATGTGATCCAATCCACATATATGCAGATAGAGCATTTTTATTAAAATTTCATGCATTAGATCTCTTATATAATCAGATATATAAAAACATTAGAAAAAATAATCTCAAATTCTATAAGCATTACATTGACAAAATTTAGGAAATTTCCTAGGTTGTTCCTTTCTGTTTTTAAGCTTTACATCAAAATGATGTTATTTCCCCAAAAGAATAAATATTGGTTAAAGTGGCTTAGAAATTTATAGCTGTGAAATCTGTAAATCATCAATTTAATAATATGTAAATTCAGAAAGAAAACTGCATAAAAAATCTTTTCATTGAGGAAAACATACTGGGAGATCATTGATGATTTACAAATCACATGTCTTTATAAGGCTACATTTTATTTATTTATTTTTTAATGTAGAAAGGTAGAGTAAGAGAGAGATGAGAGAGAGAAATATAACGAGACAGATAGAAAGAGATCATCCATCTGCTGATTCATACCCCAAATGGCCTCAGAATCAAGGCTGCGCCACCTGGTGCAGTTTCACAAATTGCTTCCAGGTCTTCTACTTGAGCGCAGGATGCAAAACACTTGGGCCATCAGCAGGCCACTGGATAGAAAGTAAAGTTGGACTTGAATCCAGGCATTAGCACATGGGAAGCAGGTACCCTAAGTGAGAAGGTTACCTGAATACATCACAACGGGTTCCCCTGTCTCCAGTAGATGTTGCATTGTTCTAGCTGCTATCTGAATAAGCATCAAAAAAGTTAAAACAAATGCTTTCTCTTTAAGAAACAGTAGTGGAATCAACATCAACTAAATGTCCTTCACAGGTTTCAATGTGACTATTTTCATCAAGATTAAAGTAAAAAGGATTTACTTACATGTGACTTGACTATAATGCTGTAAAAATGCAGTGCATTCTTGCCTAAGGAGTAAATTTCTTGTAGGGAGGAATAACCAGCTTCATTCATCCTTATTTGATGAATCATGTGCTCATTTGTTATCAAAGATTCCAATGGTTCTATTCCATAGGTGACATTATCCAACTGCAATAATCCTCTAAATATGCAAACACAAAAGAACTGGAATTGCAACTAAAACACATTTCTCGTGAACATAATTAACTTGCAAACTAAATTTCAGGTCTTTTATGGAACATCGCCACAGTTTGTATTTTAGTGTTGTTTGGAGATGCATACATTCTTCATAAATGACTTCATATACCACTGCATAAATATTAAGATGGAAACTCTGACTTATCTTACAGAGAAAACAGGAGGAAAGAGGAGTTTGAAACAATATAGGAAAAACAAAAACCAATCTGAATCTATGTCTCTTTGCTTCTCTCACCGTACACATCTTGCTAACATGCAATTACCTGAGGCCAAAGCAGGTGTTGACAATCACAGCTGATTTTGGAATCTCAGCAGCATGTCCCTGGTAAAAGCAATGCGTCTAAAAGGATAACAGATGCATATTCATAAATCAGTAGGTAAGTGTGTCCTCATTTTCATCCTTTCTTCAAAGATAGTATCAAAGAGTCAAACTTTGCTATTACAAAACCGTTCATCAGAGTTTCATATTCATTACTGCTTGTCTTCACCCTCTTGCTCTTAGCCTCATGTGTCTGTAGTAATCTTAGCTACTGTCTTCACACAAATAGCCCATCTGTGATTTTATTGTTACACACAGGTTTTATTGACCTCTATGCTTCTCCAGCTGTCTTAAGGTATAGTGCATACATGGCACGCATATATGATGAAAGGCATTCAGCTAACTTAAAAAATCTACACCTATATTGGTCCGGCAAACATTATTTTCTGCAGAATTGCTAGCAAGCCAAAAAAGAAACACCCCCCCCTTAAAAAAAAACAGAAGAAGAAAAAGGAGCACAGCCCACATTGTTACGGGAAAGCACGGCAATATACAGCATGGGACTAAACTCAATGCTGGGTGCCTGCTTGCAAAACAGGTTATTATTGTTATTGTTATTATTATCATTATTTCCCTCAGGTATCAGCCTCACTAAATTTCAAAGCACAAACATTCATTGGATGGAAGACAAACATTTTTACAAAAGGAGAGAAGAAAATTCACGGATAATCCATGTCAAGATGGCTGAAACCATTAAACAAAGATTTTCTAAAAATATTTATTTCGTATATTTTAAAGGCAAATTTATACAGAGTAGGAGAGAAAGAGAGAATCTTCCACTCTCTGGCATACCCTCCACATGGTCGCAAAGGCCCAAGTTGGGTGGGTCTGAAGATGGGAGTCAGAAGGGTTTTCGGGGTCCCCTACATGTGAAAGGGTCCAAGAACCTAAGACATGCTTTAGAGAAAAAAACGTCACACAAAATATGCGAGTTCCCGTGCCCTGTGAAAAGCGAAAAAAAAAAAAAAAACTAAACTCATTGCTCATTTAGCCAAGACCTTCCACCAGAGGATTACAAAGATACTTTCTAGAGCCTGGCTTTGCTAGCAAGGTGGGAGTCCAACATTGCAGAACTTTTTACAATGATTTATTTATTTTTATTGGAAAGTCAGATATACAGAGAAGAGGAGAGACAGAGAGGAAGATCTTACATTTGATGATTCACTCGCCAAGCGGCCTTAATGACTAGAGCTGACCAATCTGAAGCCAGGAGCCAGGAGTCTCTTTAGGGTCTCCCACGCAGGTACAGGGTCCTAAGGCCTTGGGCCATTCTCAACTGTTTTCCCAGGCCACAAGCAGGGAGCTGGATGGGAAGCAGGGGCACCGGGATTGGAACCCTAGCCCATATGGGATCCCATTGCATACAAGTGAGAACTTTAACCGTGTTGGGCCCCTACGGTTACAACACTTTTATATGGACTAACCAAAGTGTTTGTGTTTTTCTTACCCATTGTGAATAGCATTGGGCACCATCTAACCACACGTGGGCTAGAACCAAAGTGGTTCTTGAACTTGTACGTAGCATGGATCTTCCTCACTGTTTCTCAAAGAGAAGAGTGACAAGTATCCCCACTGCTCATTGCTCCCTTCTTCCCAGTGAGTGAGACAGTTCACAGGGACAGTCAGAAAGCCTGGTGCAGATAAGAGGAGAAACTTTTCCTGAGGGTAGACTATCATTCAGGAGTACAGAAGGGGCTTGATCTCAGGCACAGGTGTCAGCACAGAGAGACAAGGGAAATAAAGACATAGGCAAGCGATCCCAAAGAACATGATAAACTCAAATGATTGTTTCTAAAGTAATGGAGTTACATAATGTAGCTGAAATAGCAATATGATCTCAGGAAGCTGTTCAATAAGATCATGAGAAAAATGCATGAACAAAAGGAGAATATCAGTACAGAAAGGAAATAATACGACGAGGTAACACAATAGCCAACTAGAAGATTCGCAGAGGATGGGGTTCAATGACAGACATGAAGATGATTTAGTAGCGGGATGAATGTTGTGGCTTAGCCAGTAGAACAAGACACCTGTAGTGGTGATTTCCTTCTGGGATACCAGAAGGCACCTGACTGCTGGTTTCAGATAGTTCACACCTTTACAGCCATTGCAGGAATGAAAAACAGTGGGAAAAAAAATCTCCCTCAACATCTTTCTCTGTCTCTTCCTTTTTCTCTAATCTCCACTTCTCAAATAAACAAATAAATCTTGAAAGAAAAAAAAATAATACAACACAAAGACAGAAAGCTGGTAGTTATTTGTAAAGAGAATCCAAAGGCAAAAAGAATGAATATTAAACCAGTAAAAATGTTTGAACCAACAGAGATGGTAAGGATTTCAGAAGATGGAAAGTCCAAGAATAGAACATGATATTCCAGTAGATAATGGTACCTGTGGAATTCGAGTAGTTAACAACTAGGATGTTTAGGAATCACTTTAAACATTAGTAACTGATTGATTGTGAGAACCTTCAAAATCCTCTCTTGAAGCTACTTTTATATTTGCAATAGAATTTTTAGCCACAATCCAGCTTTTATGTGATAATAGAAGCATTACATGGTAACATGTAAAATGAGTTAATAGAAGTTGAAATAATGAATAGGTACTCAGTATACATTTGTCAAGTGAGGAAGACCACTTAAATTCCGATTAAAATGCCTCAGAGTCCAAATACATCGCACACAATGATACACTTCAGGAAAAGTGTAAGATCAAAATCAGAGACAATATGGAAAGCACCAAGCCGACAATGACTTGTCATTCACAGGAAAACTCTGAAAGACTGCTGACAGCTATTGTTTTGCTTTCCTCCCTTTCAGTATAAAACATTACAAGACAGAAAGGCATGGAGTAATTTATTCACAGTTCTAACAAGAAAACAAGCAAAATAAGTGCTATTTATTTATTTATTTATTGTTTTATATTGTATTGCTATTATTTTCCATCATACAATCTTATAAGTATAGGGATTCCCACTTCCTCTTTCCCCCTTGAATTTCTCCCATATTATTACAGTAATATAGTCCTTTAGTAATATTGCAAGTTTAACACTCTTCTATTTAAGTATATCATAACATTGCATGTATAGGCAAGGTTAAAAAACAAACAAAAAAACCCCCAGCAGATTCTCAAGACAGGCTTCACTGGACATCCACTTTTCATTCAGGAGTATAGACGCATGCCATAATGTATCTTCACTTCCCGTTATAGACTGTGTCAGATAGTTTGTAAAAAATAACAGCCTGACTGGATAAGGAGCAGCACAGACTGCGTGTGAAATCTGGAGTTTGCTTACTGCTGGTGTCAGAGACCAGGGTCAAACTGCAGGCAGTGGTCTGGGAGTGAGCACAAGTCTGAGGCCAAGACTGAGGCCCGTGGGCAAGGATGAGCATTTGGGCAATAGGTCAAGGCCACGTGGCTGTGTGTTTTAGGATATCCTTGAGACAGTCACATACTGACTTGGTACTTGGGTCACGCTGTTGCTTCTTGATCATCGAACATCAGTTAACATCAATATTTATTTTGTGTTTGTCTCTTCTTATTTTTTCAATTGCAGGTCATTCCCCCTCCAACCCTGTTTATGACACATTGGTCAGGATAACTGTTCTACATCATAAATTTCTGAGAGAATATTTGTGTAAATTTGTTCACCTACATATCTATTTGCATTGTTTTTTTGGAGGAAGTTTACATTATGTTGGACAGAATGTAGTATCTATTTTTGGACTGGCCTATTTCACTGAGTACGATGATCTACAGTTGGGATCACTTTGTTGCAAACGGTAGAATTTGATTATTTTAATGGCTGGGTAATATTACATAGAGTAGCTGTACCGCAGTTTCTTTATCCATTCCTCTTTCAATGGACATCTGTTTTTTTTCATGTCTCTATTGTCAGTTTTGCTGCTGAAAGTACAGAGAAGCAGATCACTTTCTCAGGTGCAGATTTCACTTTCTTTGGCTCTAGTTTGAGGAATGAGATAGTTGAGTCATGTGGTAGATCAATTTCTAGTTCTCTCATTGATGCTCCATACTGACTTCTGCAGTGGTTGCACTTGTCTGCAACACCCACCAAAAATGGAGTAAGGTACTGTTTTTCCCACACCTTCATCAGCAGGTGTTGGTAATAGCAGGTATGTAGGCCTACTCCACGGAATTTGGTAGAACCTCAATGTGGTTTTATTTGCATTTCCCTAGTAGCTCAGGAGCCTGAACATTTTTCCTTATGTATATTAACTATTCAGATTTGACCTTTTGAAAAAGGTCTGCTAATTTTCTTAACCCATTTGATAAGAAAGCAGTCTTGCTACTGTGGCGTTTCTGAAGTTCTTTGTAAATCCTTAGTCCCCTGTCTATTATGTAATTACCTATTCAATCTCCATCCTGGTGTAGATCTTAGGTTTTTCATTACACCACGATTCACTTCTGGTAAATTATGTTTACCCAGAAATGTACCCATTTTGCCTAGATCTTCTGATGAGTTGTCATATTGTTGCTTGTAACAGTTCTTGGTAATCTTTTGTGTGTCCAAGGTATCGGTTGTTATATTTCCTTTTTAATATCTGAGTCAATTGATATTTTTCTTCTCCCTCGTTTTGGATGGGTTGGGCTAATAGAGCATTTATTTTGCTTATTTTTCTTGAAGAACTGGCTCCTTGATTCATTGATCATATATATTGTTGCTTTGGTTTTTGTTTATTTCTTTCATTGTTTTGATTCTTTTTTCTTCTGCTAATTTTGGCTTTATTTTCCTTCTAGTCTATCTACTTCAGATGTATGGTTGGTTCATTTGCCTGGCACATTTTTAGTTTCTCAATGTAGGCACTGATTTTAATAAGATGTTCTTGTTAGCACTGCTTTGACTGTGTCACACAAGTTTTCTTTTGTTTATGCATTAATATATCTCAATGAATTTTTAAACGTTCCCTTTGATTTCTAGTAAAACTCAATTTTAAATTCTTTTCTTCTGCTGCTTAGGTGAGCTCTGCTGTTTTCTTGCTAAGTTTCAGTCCCATCAATCTGTCCATTGAAGTTATTGGGGTTTAAGCGCCACTCTTATTATTACATTAGGGCCTGTATCATTTAAATCTGTTAATATCTGATCCACATAGGTATCTATGTAAATGTACCCTAGCATTTGATGCTCGTACATTTATGATTGTGATTTCTTCTTCTTGCTGAATGAATCCTGTAATCATTATGTGATGTTCTGCTTTGTCTCTTTCAAAATTTTTAAGTGTCAGAGGGCAAAACCAATGAGTCTATGGCTTGATTTAGTTCCTGCAACACCAATGGTTTCCCCTCCCTATTTGTCTGTCAAATGTCTCTGACTTTGGGATATCTATTTCCTGAAGTGCTGCTCCACTGTCTCTGATGCTTCCCCATGTCCACGGGTTCTAGCGAGTCTCTGCCATTGACCTACTCACTACTACTACCTGGGATTGCGTCTTCTCTGATTTTCCTTCACTGTCACTTCTCTGTCCACTGTATTGTGTCCTCACCATATTCTGCCATTTTCTTGCCATTCCACAAAATATAACATTCTACCAGACAGGAGCACTCTACAAAGAAGAATGTCCTTCAAGAGTGAAGAACAAGGGTGACCCTTTGGCCTAGCAGTTGAGATACCAGTTACCATACCCATGTCACACATCCTGCCTCTGATCCTCATGTCTTTTATTTGCTCATGTAGACCATGGCAGACAGTAAAACGGCTCATGTGGTTGAAGCCCTGACATCTGCAAGGGAGACCTAGACAGAGTTCTAGTCTGCAAAACCATGAGACAACCCTGCTCCTATTCCACCAAACATAAGCCTACTGGGGAATAAACAGGAGATATCTTTTCCTACTGTCTCTCTCTCTCCCTGTGCCTTTCTTAAATCATTAAAATAAAAATTTTTTAGTTGAAGGATGAAAGTCTATTTAAATAGAAAAACAGGGAAAGGAAATTAATCATCCTAAGTCTTCCTCAGTAGCAATGCTAAAGGATACTTTCCAAGCTCCTATGTAAATAAACTATACAGGAATATAATAGCACAAATGTATGAAACTCATTAGAAAATGCAAATACAAATACATGAGAAAAGTACACAATTACAGTAGTTGGGGTGGATAAATTGCTTTTAATTTGCAATATCTTTTAAGCCAATGTGACTCGAAGGTGTTATGAGGGAATAAACACAAACTGATGCAAAGTGTGATGCCATGAAACAAACCATGAGTGAGATAAATTATGATAATGGTTTTCTTTGAAATGTGATGGGATTATTTTAACGACTTAAAGTAGATTTTTGTAACTATTTTATGTAATCACCTGAGAGTAGACATATCATACCCACATCTTACTCTCTCCCCAACTCTCTCCCACTATTTCACGATTTCTCTTTTCTACTCACAGTCACTCTTGCTCTGTTTCTATCTATACCTTTCTGTATCACTAAAGAAAGGAAAGTCTAGCACATCAATGAAGGTAATCAGCAAACCACACAGAAGCACAGCTAAGAAAAATAAAGATAACCAGCAGAATGAAAGCCAAAGCACAAAATGCCAAAGGGATTCGTAAAGCAAACAAACAAGCGAGCAAACATGATTTCCTATCAATTATTGTCCTAAATTTAAGTGAATTCAACTTCCCAATCAAAAGGTAAAACTGAGTGTACAGATAAGAAAGCAAAACTAAACTAACACATATGTAAGAAACTCATTTAAGATCTAAGGTCACATAGGATAAAGTTGAAGGTATTCAAAGATATTCCATCCAAGTTGTAGCCAGAAGGATGAGGATGCTTCTAAATTTACAAATCATAAAATAGGCTTTAGGAATGTGCAAGGAAGCAAGCTATGACAAGGAACGAAAGGTGCTCCATGGATCAAACTACCAACACAAAAAGAATCAGCAGTAACAAACACCTGTGCACTTACAATCATAAACCTATGAAACAAAAGCAGGAGAAAGCCCAGCATAATGGCTAACCCTCTCTTTTCAAACACCAGGATCCCATAGGGGTACCAGTTGATATCCCAGCTGCCCCACTTCCCCTTCAGCTCTCTGCTTATGGTCTGGGAAGCCCAGAGACCTTGTATCCGTGTAGGAGTCCTGCAAGAATTATCTGGCTCCTGGCTTCAGATCAGCTCAGCTCCAGATTTTGGGGTTATTTGGATAGTGAACCAGCAGATAGAAGATTTTCTCTCTGTCTCTCCTTCTCTCTGTAAACCTGCCTTTCTAATGAGAATTAATAGATTTTATTTAATAAATTAACACAGGAGAAGAAACATCAAGACAACAGCCACAGGAAACTTCAATGAAAATAACGAAGCAGATTTCAAAAAGGAAACAAAGCAAATGAGTAAAAGCATACTCAAGTAGGTTCAAGAGAAGCAGAGAACATTGCAACCAAAAGCATGAGGTTACACATTCTTCTCCAGAGCTCCAACACTGGGTAACAAACCAACAATGCTTAAATCATGCCAAAAATATCTTCTGAGCACAAGGGGATTGGACTAGAAATTCTTTACAGAAGGAAAAGTAGACAACCACAGAGGAATTAAACTATGTAGATGAAAATAAGCATGAAAGCAACAGAACTAGAAAAGATATAAACTAATAATTAATAATACAAAAGACAAATCTGGTAGGCGCTATGAAGAAATCAATCCAACTAAGATTTAATTTTCTGAAATGAAAATAAAACTAATAAATTCTTCCCTGTCCTAAGGAAAAAAAAAGAAAAGATATTCAAGTAAACAATCTTAGAAATGAAGACAGAGGCATTATAACTGCCCCACAGAGAAAATAATTCCAGTGAAAATGCTGAGGACAATTATGTGCTAATAAACTAGATAGTTGAAGATAAATAAATTACTAGACACACACACAATGGTCCAATATTGAATGCCAAAGCATCAAAATTCTTGTGAGCAGTGAAAACAATTTAGACAGCGTAACAGTGACATAAACTTTCCAATTAAAATCCCAGAAAAAGGAAACTCTACTTGTTCATTCTGTGAAACACTTAGAAAATACCTGTGAAGAATCCTCAAACAGTCTGAAAACCTAACACAGAAGGAGTGTGTTATGAGCACTAAGCTCACTTTATGAGGCCGTCACTGTAATTGCATGGAAGCCAGGAACATCCAACACAAGATGAGAAATACATAGGTCGATACCGATGATCCACACGGAATGCAAAGATTGATTAATAACCTTTTGGCAGAGTGAGCCCATCAGCCATTTGGAAGGGTTATACACTGTAAGTACATGACATTTGTGCTTAGAATGCAAAGATTACTGAAAACAAGGAAACCAACGACGATCACCTACCACATCACAGAATAAACGATCACGTTTACATGGAAATCTCAGTAGCTGTACATAAAACATTTCACTGTAAAATGGTTCAACAGGATAAAACCACTTCCTGACAATAACGATCCCATGTGAAATATCAAACTCGGTGTCTCCTCCCTCCACAGTCAGGAGTAAAGCAGCAGTGAGTTCCCTGACTAGCTCGGTTACCACAGTAGGGAAGCTCTTACCGACAGCAACCAGGCAAGAGGTGTAGTCAGTATGGTCAGTGGAGTTACTGGAATATTCTATAACCATGGGATAATGAACTCCTATGACTTGTCTCAAAATGGGCTTTGTATCTCATGAGGATGACGTACGAAATAAGCCAGACCCTAAATGATAAAGATTGCATGTTCTTTCTAATACATGGGAGCTAAAAAGAGTAAATCTCCATCTAAGTGCACAGAAGTGACTGTTAGAGGCTAGCCTGATTAGGCTGGGATAGAAGCTGTTTTGACAGTAACAACCAAGTTAGAATTAAAGAGCAAGAGTAAGTTTTTACTCGAATATACCTTGGGGAGGGGAGTGCGGATAACATTTTAAATGAGTTCATGCTTTACAGGAAAAAAAAAGAACTAGAAAGCTAAAACTAACAGATTCACCAAAATTACTAGGAAAATGACCATACATTTTTATGCAAATATACCAGAGAATTAATTCAGGTAGAACTACAAGACTGAGGCAAACATGAAAAAAATCACTCTCCCAAAGAAATCTACAATGTGAGAAGCATTACAATTCCTGGATTCCAAATATACTACAAGGGCACAGTAAGCATAGTATTTGATCTGACAGCCCATCAAAGGACAGGGATACACAGATTTGGTCTTTAGCTCCTAATTTTGGCTTGGCCCCACTCCATTTTTGTGGACACTTGGGAGATAATAAAGTTGATGGGAGATTCTCTCTATCCCTCTCCTTTAAAGGGAGGAACCGCTAAGCTAGCTATGTAGATAGAGATTTCAGAAAATAATGATCATTCATTGGAGTTTTCATTTTAAATGAGTTTGTGATCTGTGTGCTACATAATTTTATAGACACTAAGGCAGTCATTATCTTCTCAACAATGACAACTTTACCACATAGAAAATGAAAATTAATTCAGCAGCTAATATATCTTACCTTTAACAATGCAGTATCTATGTATACTGTTCTTGATTTGTTGTATGAATAAATCAGAAAATTTGGATGTAGAAATGATCTAGTTAAATGAAAAAGTAATACTTTATTGAATAATATCAATTAAAATGATTTTTTAAATAATAAAAGCAAATTAAATTTATTTCCAGTTTTCAAAAGCAAACATTCAAAAGTAAGTCAGCATATCTGTACAATATCTAGTGTACTTTTTTTTACTACTCTATTGAATTAAAAGAAAAGCATGAGAAGCAAAGAAAGCTAGAAATTATTATTAGACTTATGGATTTAAAATGCTCAACTGGCAAAGACAGATTTATGTAAAGTAATCGCTAGGTTTTCTAAATGTCAATAACATTCTTAGGTTTGATTAAAGCATCAATAAAATGCAGATGTTAACTGCTTTGTTTAGCATATTCTAAACAATAGTGATGGGTTATTTCACACATACAGACATCTATGCCAACATACACACATTATTTCGAATAGTTCGTGGAAACAAAGTTCAGGGATCAATCTTGAGCTCAAGCTACTGGTCTAACTTGTGCAGATGGCCTGGGAAAGCAATAGAGGACGACCTATGTGCTTGGGCCTCAACGAGCCCGTGGGCTGCTGACTTCAGCCTGGACAGCACTGAACATCATGGGGGTTTAGGTCGTAAGTCAGAAGTTTGAAGGCTTATCTCTCTTTGCCTCTGCCTCAGGCTTTTCCATTCTGTCACTCTGCTATGCGATAGCATCTAGAGTTGATCTTTGTATATGGTGAAAGACTTTCTGTTTTGTTTAAATGATGTATGTATTGTTATGACATTACCATGCTACTTGAATTATAATAGTTTTACAGTATGTTTTTAATGAACATATTGGAACTGAGCAAATCTAGAGCAAAAAGTGAAAACCAGTCAGCCAACACTGACAGACATGTGCTAGACACCGTTTAGAGAACCAGCTGTGCCTCTTCAGCTCTGGCACTGCCAGCACCTTCAGAAAAAGGCTCAGCACTCAGTGGTGGAGACATGAGAGGTAAACACAGTGGCAGTGGTTGTGGAGGCTGTGGCAGGAGGGCAGTGTATGATCCCAGCCTGTGGTTGAAAAATCACTGGAGGGACTGGTGTGAGTGCCACCGTGGAGTTCTGGGTACTGGACAGTCAGTACCTAGTAAAGTCAGCTTGCAGACCTGTGGATGACACACATAAAAAAAGCAACATCTGCCAAGGGAAAAATACTAATGTTAGGTAGATGGCTAAAGGGAAAATATGAGCAACCCTGAAAACTGACTTTTCCCTTACAAAGGAGAAAAAAAAATTGTTTCGATTTCAGAATTAGCTGAAAAACAGCTAAAGAATGTTTAAAGATCATTATCATGAAATTCTTCACAAATCAGAAGCAGAGTTCAAGGAATTTATTAAGCAGCAGATAGCAGCATTGGAACAAAATCAAACAAAAACCATAAATGAAAAAATTCAACGAGCAAATTAAAAAGCAATGGAAACTCTCAACAGTAGAATTAATGCGGCATAAGAACAAATATCAGAAGTGGAAGACACTTCAGGAGAAAGTGTCTGGTGAGAAATATGAGAGAGAAACTGAGTAAGCTAGGAAAACCATCCAGGAATTATCTGACACCACCAAAAGGCCAAACATAATGGTTCTAGGACTCTGTGAAGGCAAGTAAAGCAGTGAGAGATATCACTGCTGGACCTCTGCGTGCTTAGCCTGTGTGGGAAGTTGTAAGCATAGGGCACACTGTGTCCCAGGGAACCGCCTGACAATGGTTTTGTCTGACACGTCTAACTGTCCTGTTCACTGACTTGCAGCAAGAGCAGTGGGCTGCACACCATTCTTTCTCCCCTGTCCTTCCTTGGATGAGCAACACTTGCTGAAGACACCAAACTTTTCCAATATTTTTGTTTGTTTGTTTTCTTCAGTTTTCTCAGCAAAGATTGGTTGGTTATACATCTGTTAGTTCCCTTCTGGAATTTCTATTCTGTTCCATTGATCTTCTTTTCTGCTTTTGTACCAGTACTAGACGATTCTGATGACCAGTGTCCTACAGTGTGACCAGTGTCCTGAGCTCTGGAATTATGATTCCTCAAGCTTTAATTTTATTCTTCAGGACAGCTTTGACTAATCATGGTCACTTGTGTTTCCAGGTGAACTTTTCTATCATCTTTTCCATTTCTGAGAAGAATGTTGATATTTTGATTGGGATAACCCTAACTTTGTATATTAGTTTTGGTAGCGTGTACATTTTGATGATGTTTTTCCTGCCAATCCAAGAACGTGGTTCGTTTCCGTGTTTTAAGGCCTTCTATTTTTTCTTGCTGTTCCATAATTTTCATCATAGAAGTCTTCCACATTTTTGATTAGCTTAATATAAGTTCTAATCCATGGATTTATTTGTGTGCTGATATTTAATTTTAATTAAAATTTTGTGTGCTGATATTCTGCAAAATTTTCTTAAGATTTCCTAGTCACCTGATTGAATTTTTTGGTTCTCCTATGTAGAGAATTATATCATCTGAAAAGAGGGTTGATTTTAATTCTTCTTTTCTGATTTGAATTCCTTTAATTTATTTTTCTTTCCTAATAGCTCTAGTGAGGACTTGAAATGTAATTATATTGAATAGCAGTGGTGATTATGGACAATCTTGTTTAGTTTCAGATCTTAGTGCAAGAGCTTCCAATCTTTTCCCTTTCAGTATGATGCTGACATTAGATTTTTCATGTATTGCTTTGTGTTGTAGAATGTTCTTTCTATGCCTGTTTTGACTAGGGCTTTTAATTGAAGTGGTATTTATCAAATGGCCTCTTTCCATCTATTGAGATGGTCATAGGTTATTATTTTTCAATTTGTTGATGTTTTATATCACATTTATTGATTTGCATATGTTTTTTAAAGCTTTGTTTATTTTTATTGCAAAGTCAGATAGACAGAGAAGAGGAGAGACAGAGAGGAAGATCTTCCATCGGATGATTCACTCCCCAAGTGACTGCAATGGCTGGTGCTGTGCCGATCTGAAGCTAAGAGCCAGGAACTTCTTCCAGGCCTCCCAGGCGGGTGCAGGAACCCAAGGCTTGGGGCCGTCCTTGACTGCTTTCCCAGGACACAAGCAGGGAGCTGGATGGCAAGTGGAACTGCCGGGATTAGAACCGGCACCTATATGGGATCCTGGCACATTCAAGGCAAGGACTTTAGCCCCTAAGCTACCTTTCCAGACCCTGATTTGCATATGTCAAACCACCCCTGCATGCCGGGATAAATCTCACCTGGTCTGGTAAATAATTTGCATAGGTACTGTTGGGTCTTTTTTACTAGTAATTTGTTAAGGATCTTTTCGTCTATGTTCATCCGGGGTATCAGATTATTGTTCTCTTTTATTATTGTGTCTCTGTATTTATTATTAAGGTGATGTTGGCTTCAAAGAAAGAGTTTGGAAGGATTGCCTCCAATTCTATTGTATGGAATTGTCTGAGGTAAACTGTATGAAGTTTGGTGTCTTCAGCAAGTGTTGCTCATCCAAGGAAGGTCAGGGGAGAAAGAATGGTGTGCAGCCCACTGCTCTTGCTGCAAGTCAGTGAACAGGACAGTTAGACGTCTCAGACAAAACCATTGTCAGGCAGTTCCCTGGGACACAGTGTGCCCTAAACTATTGTATGAGGTAAATTCTTGAAGTATTTGGTAGAACTCAGCTTTGAAACCATCTAGTCTAGGGCTTTTCTTGGTTGGGATTTTTTAATTACTAATTCAATCTCAGATCTTGTTATAGCCCTTTTATATTATGAATTTCCATATTATTCAATGTTGGTAGATTGTATCACCCCCAAATCTGTCCATTTCTCTATGTCTTCTGATTTGTGAACATATAATTGCTTGTAATAGTTATGAAGATTCTATGTATATCTCAGGTATCTTCTGTTCTTAATATTCAGTACAATGATATATATATATAATATTAATACTATATTAGCTATAAGTATATGTATATTAGTGTTATAAATAAATATAATTTTATAGGAATTAGGAGCTTCCTCTTAATATCCCACATGGCTATGGGGCCAAGCACTTCACTACCCTCCACTGCCTTTGTAGGCACATGAAAAGGATTTGGCTATGCAGCCATTTATACCAGACTCCAACTGGTGCCTCTATGCAATGCCAACACCCCAGGCAGTGGCCCTAGCTGGTATACCACAATGCCAAACTCCTCACACCCTACTTCTGTGGGAACGGAAGTTCTGGAGTTAACTATTTATGTGACAGTTTACTGCTCTTAATGAGCATTTTTTATGAGCTTTTAATGTTTCATTTTTCTTTCTCACATGAGAATTTATCACGAACGGTGAAGCTTGGGTTTTTCTTGTGTCTGCAGTTAAATTAACATTGAAATCATCTTCAAAGCCTGACTGATTTTACTGGCATTGGGGTTGCTCATTCTTTACCTCTGCAGCAATTTTACCCTTACATCTGCACTATCTAGTAAAATGGTGACAATCAGACAGCTGTGTGACATGACAGGCATGATGAAAACTAGTAAACATGGGCACATAAAAGTCATATCATTGATTGTCATGCTTACGGCATACTTTGAAGACTTATAGAATTATATTTTCATCAGAACTTTATTCATATTTTCATTCATAAATAAGATTTTGGCTACATAATGAGATTTAACTCTAAAATTCATATTCCGTCAAAAGCAATTTAAGATATTGACTGTAGAAATTAAGACACTAATAGCAATTAGCTGAAAATAAAGCAGACCACTTACTGTCTTTCAAGAAGAAGCGTGAATTTCTCTTTTCCAATTTTGATTGAGTAAGTGACCTGCATAAAAGTTCATACAGAGAAGTAGCTGTTAGAAATTACACACTACTTTGCATTGTATGTAGACTTTCATGTAACATTGACTGTATTCTGCCTGCTTCAGATTTGGGATGTGTTTAAAAAAAATCACTAATCATTGAATTTAAATAAAACCACACTGTGTGTGTCCATACCTAAGGGCACTGCTGATTAGCACTTACTACATGTCATAAACAGATTTGCATTTAAAATGAAGATTGCGTTTAGGGATGCTGAGTAACTGCATAGAAAACAATTTGTGATATATTTTTTTTCCTTTTCTGTTCCAAATGAGTCTCTTAAAAACCAAATAGACAACAGTATTTCCTCATCAAGAGTGAGGCATTCGTTCCACTCATATGTCATTCCCAAATCTCTTTCTCTTTGTTGTTTGACAGTTGCTTTAGCTGAAGAAGGTCACTCGAAATGACGTAAATCTCCAGGAAAGCCCATATTTTTCAGAAACCATCCTTGTAAATGGATATTTACTCTCATTGAAAAAACAGGTGCAATACAATGATATTTTTGCAACAAATTCATCTACAAATCAACAATTACCCTTTTATATTACGAAGGGGATTCATTCTGATGGAATTTATCTGGTGACATAATGTGTATATATTTTAGTCATATGTAAGATATTGAGATAGAAAGCTTATGAAGAAATGATCACTATAATCAAATTGATTAGTATAACACTAATGACATATAGCTGTGAGTTTATTTCATGTGCCGAGAACAGTTAGATCTACTAATCCATGTTGACTATGGAATCTGATCTGAGATCACCCCAGATGAGGTTTCGTTTAGGATCTTCCAAACTGAACAGCTGGACTCAGAACTCCAACAATGTGGAGAATTTCAGTATGTGTGGACTTCATGGACTGCATGTGTTAGAACTGGGCCTCAATAGCTTAGATGGTGTGATGGATGTCATGTCCAGATGCGCATGGAGGCTGTGACCGTCCATTGGAGCCTGCAGAGGACATCTGGTACCATAGCAGAGGAAGGAGGGCAGAACAAAGAAGACAACTACTCCAGCCAAGCTTTAACAGCATGTATCTGGATGAATGGAGACACTAATTTGGACTATGAAGCCAAAGGACTTTGGAAGGATTTCTGCTTCCTTGAATTGGTGAGATAAGCAGCATCTCAGAGCCATCCGAACCACCTAAGCGGAACCCTCAGAGCATGCTCTGCAACAGGGATCGTGAAATGACATTCAGTGACCAAGTCCACATCCCTGGGTACTGAACAAGCGGTCCTGCTATTTACTGGAATTATATTATTATTATTATTATTATTATTATATGATATAGTTCCATAGGCTCCAGGACTTCCATCTCCCCTCCCTAACTCCCCTCCCCAATACAGATTTCCCTTCTCTTATTACAATGGATAGACCTTCATGAACAATCATAAGTTCATTCTGCTATTGAAGTGTTTCTTGACATTGTAGGCATGAACAATGTCAGAGAGATCAGCCGCCTAATATCAGAGCCTATTCAACATTTTCCCTGGGAGTCCATCTTTGGACTTAATGCAGAGACATACTGCACTATGTCTCAAAATTGGACCTGTCAGTCTAAGCTGCCCTTCTATTATACATCCCCTTATATACAGAGCCAGAAAACACAGTCTGCAACAGGGAGAAAAACAAAATTGTCACCAGTATGAAGCTAAACAACATGCTACAGAAACAGCAATGTGTCACTGGAGTGATGGAAATCAAAACCTTCTTGTGGGAATTGATGCTACTGGATGACACATGTGACACCGAAGCGGTCCTCCCTCAGTGAAAGGCAAACAAAGAGAACCCTCCGCTCCCCCTCCAGCAGGTGGCCAAACCTGGCTAACACAGGTTAGCACAATTAGGTTGAGTCCCAAGCACAGAGAAAAACAGGTCTGGTCAGTAGCAGGAGGAACTTGAGACAAAAACAAACAAACAAACAAACAAACAAACAAAAAAACCAAAAAACTAGACCAGCAAGACTTCAGGTCATCCACTAGGTGGCAGCAGAGATAACCATGGGGCGAAGGAAGATAAATGAACCAGAGGAAGGAGCCAGTGCCTCCCCAAAAACTCACCAAAAGCCCGGTCAATCGCAGAGATTACAGATGAAGAAACTGAAGATGTATCAGACAAGGAGTTCAGTAAAATAATTATACTCTTCAGAGACAACGAAAAATGATGGGAGGACCTTAAGGAATTCAAAACTCATATAATTACAGAAACAAAATTACTCAAAACCGAAATTCAACACCTCAAACACACATCGAAAGGTTATCCAACGGAATTGCTGCAACAGAAGATAGGATATCTGAAATGGAAGACTCCCAGAATGAAAGCACACATATCATTAACCAATTGGAGACACATGTACACAAGGCATCCAAGGCATTCCAAGAGTTGAACAACCACATGAGGAAGTCAAATATCAGAATTATGGGGCTCCCAGAAGGAGTGGAAGAGAGACAGGCATACAACCAGTGCTCAACGAAATCATACAGGAGAATTTCCAAAATGCCTGGAACGTGAGCACAGTCCCAATCCAGGAAGGTCAGAGAACACCCCACAGGATTGACCCAGAAAGATCTCCCAGACAGGTGGTTATCAAGCTCCCCTCCAATGAACACAAAGAAAGAATCCTTAGGCTGGCACGAAGCAAAGACAAGCTTACATTTAGAGGCAGGTTCATCAGAATCACCACTGACTTCTCAGAAAAGACGCTCCAGGCAAGAAGGGAATGGAATAAAATCTTTCAAATACTGAAACAGAACAATTGCCAACCAAGAACATTGTACCCAGCAAAGATCTCCTTGGTATTCGAGAATGAAATTAAATACTTCCATAACAAAGAGAAATTAGAAGAATATGCCAGCACAAAACCAGCTCTACAGAATCTCCTCAGAAATGCACTACTTCCAGAGAAAAAAGAACCAAACCACAAGCAAGGATGGCAAGTGGGAAGACTACCACATTAAAGCTCACACAAGGAAAGACACTCAGAAACCAACATCTTCAAAGACACACGCTCATGGCAGGACAAAATCACAACCTCTCAATAATAACCCTTAACACAAATGGCCTCAATTCATCAGTCAAAGAACACAGATTGGCAGACTGGATTAACAAACAAGACCCAACTATCTGCTGCCTACAAGAGAGGCATCTAACCAGAAAAGACGCTAAGAAACTGAAAGTGAAGGAATGGAAAAGGATATTCCACGCCAATGGACAGGAAAAAAAGGCCGGTGCAGTGATTCTAATTGTGGACGAAACAAACTTCAACATAACAAACATCAAAAAGGACAGGCAGGGCCGGTATATATTGTTGAAAGGCAGGATCCATCAGGAAGAAATTACCCTTCTTAACATTTATGCTCCAAGTCCAGATGCAACCTGCTATGTGAAACTACTACATGTATCCAATGCAATAAGATAATGCGTTGTAACCTATAAAACAACAATTAATGTGAGTCAGAATGCTTATGATCCACATCAAAGAACTGTAAAATCTAAAACACTCATAATACCCTATGTTACTCCATAATGGGGAGGGAATGCAGAGAAATCTTCCATCTCCCTAAAAAGTGAGAGGAAGACGTGAAATATAGCCTACCAGGATCAAATCTGATAACCCATAGACAACAGACTCGAGTCAGCACTAGACAATAGTAAAGCTACACAGGCATAAGGGGGAAATCGGGAGCGACCCTGAAAGCCTCTTATCAGGAGGTCATGCGTATGGAGCAGAGGGGAGACTCCAGAGTGGAGTGAGAGGTCAGGGGGAGACTCGCATCCCAACCCTGAAGACTCCCAGATCCTCACCAAAGACCATTAACATCAGACACCAAGGACTACATCCCAACTGCTAAGGAGACCACGGGAATAAGAGTGCCTTTAGAGGCCAAGAACTCTGAGGTCACCCACCCCCATCTGGAGGCTCCACAGGGGATGGAAGAAGTCCAAACTCTGCTGGACAGAAACCCGTGGCATCAGAACAACGGCCAGGAGCCCTGAGCGATCTGCAGAAACAGAAGAATAATAAACTTCCTTCGGGACTAGGGAGGAGAGCTCTCTCTGGTCCTTGCCTGGCTCTGGTTCTGGGTTCCCACCCTCCCTCGCGGTGACTATTAGGATCGCTCCAGTAACCCCTCAAAACAAACAAACAAACATACAAACAAGAAATCTAGAATGGACAGACAACAACATGGGAAGCTTAGAATCAGACAGGAAACGCCCAGCGTGGACCCAAACATGCCTCACTAGGTGGGACACAAAAATTAGTTATGCCTCACTGGGGTATTGGGAATGTCTCTGCACACACATCCTAAAAAAATGTACTGCACCTAAACTGATAATTGTATGGAATCAGGTTGAATATAAACCAAAATGGCAATGTCTATGAAGAAGTCACAGGATGTAGTTAAGAAACCGCATTTTCCTATCAACATACTATTAACCAATTCCATGTCAATTAATGCCATAAGGTTGTAAATGGCTGTTGGTGTTATGTTGGGGCTTTTAACTGATTGGGATGATACTTTGCTGGCTTTAGCTTCAGACCAGAGATGGTCTCACCAAGAAATCATTGAACCCACTAGGATAATAAGACACTGGACTTTATGCTTGGTAAATACTTCCAACGAAAGAACCTCAACTGAATTTGAACTGTGGTAACGCAGCAAGGTGGAGAAATCCACCATGGGGAGAATGTTTGGGGAGGGGTGGGAGGAATCCCAGTGCCCATAACACTTTGTCACATAATGCAATGCAATTAATAAAACAAATTTTTTTTTTAAATCCTTGAAACAAATTAGCATTAAGTCTGTTGGTTGACTGTGTGAGAACTGTTGCTTCTTTGCTATGTTTCTGTCTCATCAGTCTCTCTATTGATGTTAACAGGGTGTTGAGGTCCCGGTATTATTGTAGTGGCATCTATTTCTCCTTAGGTACATCAATAATTGTTCCATGTAGCCAGATGCTCTCGTATTTGGTGTGTATACACTTATTCTTCTGAGTGATGGATTCCTTTATCATTATGTAGTGTTCCTCTTTATTTCCTTTAATGTTTCTCATAGTGGAGTCTGTATCATCTGATAATAGAGTGGCTACACTGGCTGTTTATCTTTTCCATTGACATGAACTGTTGTTTTCCATCCATACTTTCACTCTTGGTTTAAATGTATCTTTGTTTATTAGATGTGTCTCCTGTAGGCAATGCATAGATGAGTCCTGCTTTTTGATCCGTTGTTAATTTATGTCTTTTCAAAAAGAGATTTATTTTTTATTGGAAAGTTAGCTACACAGAGAGGAGGAGAGACAGGGAGGAAGTTTCATCTGCTGATTCACTCCCCAAGTGACCGCAACAGCCAGTGCAGCACCAATGCAAAGCCAGGAGCTATTCCAGGTCTCCCATGCAGGTGCAGGGTACCAACGCTTTGGGCCGTCCTTGACTGCCTTCCCAGGCCACAAGCAGGGAGTTGGATGGGAAGTGGGGCTGCCAGGATTAGAACTGGTGATCATATGGGATCCGGGTACATTCAAGCCAAGGATTTCAGCTGCTAGGCCATTATGCCGGGGCCGATTTATGTCTTTTGATTAAGTTAAGCCATTTGTGTTCAGAGTTAATGTTCATAGCTTGTAAACTCTGTGTGTGTGTGTGTGTGTGTGTGTGTTTGTTGTTCAGGTCTCTGTTTAACTTTGGTTTATTTTGTGTGCTTTCATGGGAAGATCTTCCCCTTTGCCATCATTGATTATGATGAATTTCTTTTCATTCTGTCTTCAGCACATTTGTCAGCATCAATTTTAGGGCTGGCTTGGTGTTTGCACATTCTTCTAACTTATCTATATAATGGAAACATTTTATTTCATTGTCAACACAAATGAGGTCTATGCTATCTATATTCTTTATGTTCAGTTGATGGGAATTTACAATGATGTGTCAGAATAGGTTTTTTTTTTTAATCCAAAATGTTCAAGGTTCTCTGCCCTTCCTATATTTGGGTTCCCATTATGTTCTCTATAATTAGAAAGTTCTCTTTTGTAATTTCATGGGACACTTCCTGCAATCCTGCCTCTCTTTCCATGCCTTCAGGAGTACCTAGAAATTCTGGTACAGTTTTGGATGGTGTCATTCATTTCTTAGATCAACTTCTTACCTTCATTCATTCTCTTCCCTATGTCTAATTGTGTTTTCTCAAATTGGTTATCCTCCAAATCTGATATTCTTTGTTCTGCAGCATCCATGCCATTGTTGAGGGTTTCTGTTGTGTTCTCAAGGTCTTCAGTTTGGGGCTTGTTTATAGATTTTATCTCTGTGGTGATATATTCTTTAAATACCTCCAAAACTTGCCATCTTTTCTCATTGTCTCTGAAGAGTTTTGTGATGAGTTTTTGTACTTCCTGTATGATCTTTTGTTCATTTTTGAGGGACATGCTAGCTTCCTGTATATTCTGTTGCTTCCTGTTTTTTTCTGTTGCCCTTTCCCATGGTCTTTTAGATCTGCAGGCTTTCTAGTTGCTGTTGGTCATGTGCATGCTCCTGTGTGCCTTCAGTCTCTAGTGTTTTAGTGGGGTTGTCTGAGGAGTCTGGGTTTGGGGAGGCTGCTGAGATTCAGGGACACCCACTGTGCACCAGCTTGGGGAAGGTTCCTCTCTGACCTGCCTGCTTCCAGAATTGGATCAGGCAAGTGGTGGATTAGTGCAAGCGGTGGGTTGGAATGGATAGGGCAAACACTAACAGCTGTGGCCATTTGCAGCTGACAGATACAGATTTCACACTGGTATGCACACATTTGCTCCAGATCCAAACTCTGTCCCCCAGGGATCCTCTCTCTCTCTCTCTCTTTGCATGTGGGTGGACTCAGTTCTCATTCCATGTGTCCCTCTCAGATGCTTCTCTCCCCAGATGCTATCTCCCAAACAGCTTATTCACCAGTGGTGTGACGTCTTCAGCCAAGGGATCATTTGATCAGACACCCATGGGTTTCTCCTCAGGTTCATCTTCTTTGACCTTCCTTGTCCTACAAGTTTTGTTTTGTTTTGTTGTTTGTTTGTTTTTTGTTGTTGTTGTTGTTTGCTTCCCACTGTCTTTTTTGGGAGGCTCCTACTGGGATTCTCTCCATTCCTGTTCCTTCTGTAGTGGTTGAAAACTCACTAGGTTTTTGTCTGTGGCTTGGGATGTCTTCCCATAGTTTTCCTGTGCTCATGCTCCTGGGATACCAGCTGCAATACTGAAGACCATCAATTTATGTTTATTAAGACCATCAATTTATGTTTATTGGCTTTATACACTGCTACCTTGCCAAACTCTCTTATGAGTCCCATTAGTCTCTTTGTTGAGTATTTTGGCTTTCCTGTGTATAGAATAATGTCTTCAGTGAACTGGGATAATTTTAATTCTGGGGTTAGCCTGAACTTATTTTGGATAGCATCTGTGGGATACCAAGCCTGTAGTATTTTCCTCGTGGGAGCAGTGAAATGCTTCCCTGGTATGAACATTATGTAGAAGCCTTCTGGAGAGCTGGATGTGCAGTCCTCTCTGGGCTTAACTCACGTGCCGTTCACAGTTGCTTTCCAGGGACATTGCAGCAGTTCTCAACATGGCACTTGAGGTACCTCTCCTGATGCTCATGGTGCCGGGTTGCTAACTCTACCCTGTTTCAACACCCTCCACAACAGCTCCACTGCTCTACTGTGGCTCATAATTAGATTAATAATGCAGCAGTACCCACATCCTATGGGTTGATTCACCTCCTACACTCCAGGTGTTCTCCCCTGCCTATCTGTCCACCAGTGGAGATCTGATTGTCACTGAGGTATCTGTTTGCCACCGCAAATGTCCACGGCCCCCTGGTATCTCTGCTTTCAGCCCTTCCACTCCTTTTACCTGGAATTGTGTCCTCCTTGCTTCTCCTCTGCTAATCTGTCAGTGTCCAATTTAATATGTCCTCATCCTATGCCACCATCTTGCTCTTTTTTCCCAATATATAACTTTTTTGAA